TATGTGTTGCATGTGTACTGTATATGAACTTCTTAAGTTCTTCCTTAACAGCTCACACATCCCACACATTTAGTCTCTAAATCCTTAAAGACGAGCAGATGTAATGATGTAATAATTTTTATGCAATAATAATGTGGGAAGTGGGGTGCAGACCAACTTCATGGGCGGAAAGCGCTGTCTCAGGGGGACCAGTGTGTCTGCAAGATGTTCTAAGTCACCAGAATCTGAGGATTGATTATGTACTGTAGGTCATTAGGAGTAGAGTTAGCATGAAAACCTGCAGACACACCGCTCTTGGAAGACCAGAATTGCTCATTCTTGCCCTAGTTTAAATAAGGCACAGTACCACCTTTATACCACACCCTTACTACTTCAGGGAGCAAAACTGAAGACCTGCACCCACACAGTCTAGGGTTACGCACAAAAGTATAAACGTCTTAAGCGGTTACACTATTCATACACAAAGTATGAATCGAAAGTCAATCGGTTTGCTTTAAATTTTGTAAGTGTTCAAATTTTACCATTATTTTTAAGACTTCAAACTAGCATTCCAGGAAAAAGGGAACATGGGATAAAAACAATCCAAACTACCGGTCAAACAAGGACACGGGCTGTGTTGCACAGTTGAAGAATACGGTTCGTCTAGAATACATTTTGCCACAATACACATGTATTTGTATTAGAAAAGGGCACTATTTATAGCACAATTTTAAATGTAGTTAGATTTTAAAATTATAAAAATTGTAAGATAAAAATAAAAGTGTTGAGGGAAAAAAAATCACATAACACCGGGTGAAAAGCTCTTAGGATATTTCTCTGGAAAAGTAATGATAGTTTCCAGCCTCTCCAGAGGTAGAAAGATGAGCACGGAACTGTTATTCTACTTAATGCGTTTCTACGACCATATTTTAATAGCGCACGGACATCTTTTTCCAGCTCAAAGGTAAAAGGTCACTGCGAAGGAGGAGGTCAGAGCGTCCTTTCTGCCGACACGTGGTTTCCAGTAGTTTCTTAGCGGTTTGAGTCTGATCAGTGGGAGAAGGGTATTCCGTCGCACGCATTTTTTGGGGGTGACCTCCGATTTCAGTCAAACTTCTTCAAGACTAGCTTAGTTGTCTGAAACCATGTTGAAGTCTCTTACCCGGGCCCTCGGCGTCGCCACTCGTATTTCCACCAGCACAGCCGCCTCTTCCACCCGGGTGCTGGAGCCTCTGCTCCGGCCGGCTGTCGGCGCTCCCAGCTCGGCAACAGCTCGGCCCTTCACCCGCTCTATCTGGATGCTGTGCAGTAGCGGCTCCTCATCGGAACACAGGCCGGGGCTGCTGAGCAGTAGTCGGGGTATCCCATCGGTGTCGTGCGGCTGCGGAGGACTTCACACGGAAGGTAAGCATAAAGAAATAATCCTGCGAATTATTGTGGGATTCTGGGGCTCTGATGGTATATCCGGGACGATTGATGCTGCTCGTGTGCGTTAACCCAGATGTGTTTCTTACAAACAGCGTTCAACCGGTTTTGTTACAATCACGTTATGGACAAAAACGGCCTTCAAGAAGATTAAAATGAGTTTTGCAAACGGTAATTCCGGTTTGACATTCGGGGCTACAGTACCCCCACATGATCAGTGAAGTGTCGAAGAAGGACTTGAAAAACCTTTTGTTTTATAAATCCGGGACGTTGAATTGTAATGATGCTTCGACACACATGCCCTTGATGTAATTTCTGTAGAGTGATACACGCTATGAAGAGCACTCCAGACTTCTGTGCAATATTTCGATTATAGGCGTGAAGCATTACATTCAATGCACTGTCCATCTGTAATTATGAGTATTGTGTATACATCTAAACACCTTCATGGCAAGATCGGTAGTTTCCTACTGTATGCTTTATAGTTTTACATTGAAAATAAAAAAAAACTAACAATGCATAATCGGAAACACATTTCTTTGCCAGGAGACAAGGCGTTTGCAGAATTCCTGTCAGATGAGATTAAAGAAGAGAAAAAGATTAAGAAGCACACAGCGCTGCCCAAGATGTCTGGGGGCTGGGAGCTGGAACTCACAGGCACCGAAGCCAAGCTAACTAGGAAGATCGCTGGAGAAGTGTAAGAGAAATGTTGAACCCTTTCTTCAGAACCTCATGGCACACAAAGTCAGCCCCGGGAAGGCAATTTGTTCCCCGAAAAGGATAATGATTGAATAATTTAAACCCCACTCTTCGCATGCCATACTGCATTTCAATTAAGATTAAGATTGACATTTGATTTCAATTTCTCCACCTTTAGGGTGTCTTGATGTGACCTTCCCTTGTATATCAGATGAGTCATCCAATACACCGTCTAATCCTTCCGACCGACACAATCCACCTCTTTAGTTAGGTGTTAAACCAGTCTGTCCTTTCAGGATCTGGCTGAAGTCAGCTGGTTGACTATTTAAGTGAAGAATCTATTCATCAGTGGATGAATCTGAATGTCAGAATTCCTCCTCAGAGTTGTGTGTTGTAAGTCATGCACGTTGGGCAGTCATGAGTTGTAATTACTGGGTGGGTGAAGTAACATGGCTTATGGCTAAAACGCCAAAAACCTTTCTTGACAGTCAGCATCAAATGCTGTTATTGGTTTTATGCAGTTTAGCACAGGAAACCCTGAATATCATTAAATGGGAAGAAGTCTAAAAGCAGCAGCCTATTGATTTGACATTAAAAGAAGCTGGGGGGGGGCGCAGCATTGCTGTCAATGGGGCCCCGGGTTCAATTCCAGTCCTGGGGTGATACTGCGTGAAGTTTGTGTGTTCTCCCCGCATTTGTGTTTGAGTTTCCTCATACACACTGGTGGGTTGATTGTCCTCTGAGAAAAATGTGTGTGCCCTGTTATAGGCTTGTGTCCCATCCAGGGAGCTCCCCTCCTTGCACCTGTTGCTTGCTGGGATAGGCACCTGCTCACCTAAGGAAGCAGCAGCTGGGAAACAGGTGGATGGGGAAAAACCCAGGGAATGGGGATCATCAAAGATGAAGATAAATGCCAAAATATTATCAAGGACTTAAGTTGCCTCAAGCTGAGATTAATGCTTTGACCTCTTGCCAGGATGCTGATTATTTCCTTCTGTCTTTTCTCAACGCTGCAGGGTGTCGGTCACATTCAACATCAACAACAGCATCCCACCCACCTTCGATGAGGAGCCAGAGCAGGGCCAGAAGCCCTCCGAAAACGAGGTGAGCGTGCACTTGGTTCTGCCTGTGTAGACTCCAGGTCTTGGTGGCGTGAGTGGTAGACTTCTCTCATAAAGGGCACTGGGATATAACCAGGGCCTTTATGTGATTGTTCCCCTTGTGTTTCTTCTAGCCTGAAATTGTGTCAACACCCAACTTTGTCGTGGAGGTGGCGAAACAGGCTTCAAACCAGTCCTTGGTGTTTGACTGCCATTATCCCGAAGATGAGGTGGGTCTCTCGGTACTCTGCCCTGGTCATTCATGAATGGGCACTGATCTTCACACTGGGCTCAACAGGAGTTGCTGACATGGCTCAGAAAGTGAACAGTCATTGTTGATGGTTTGCACAGGTGATTATTTCATGTGTCGCATATGGACTCACCTGAAATAATCATAGAATCAAGTGCAATAGAACTATGTTATCTTTTATTCCCACAGTTATTTGGTCAATTAACTGTTTATTTTAATACCTATATATATATATTTTGTTTTGTTTTTTTCCCTTTTTATCATACATGGATGTCTCTTAATGGGTTAGTGTTCTGTTAAATGTATTGTGTTACCCACTTGGAAAGCAAATTTCCCATCGGGGACTATAAAGTATAACAAAGGAGCGATTAATTGCGGTATTAACGGGCCGGGTTTGCTGTCCAGGTGGGCCACGGCGAGGGAGAAGAGGAGAGTGATATCTTTGCCGTCCGAGAGGTCAGCTTCCAACCCACTGGAGAGAAGGAGTGGAAGGACACCAGCTACACACTCAGCACCGACTCCCTGGACTGGGTATGTAGTCCCTTCTTCCAAGTGATTCTTCCTCAAAAGCTTGGATGAGAGTCTAGAACTACCCTGCCGATGTGTAGTGGAGATGTGGAAATATTTGGGATGGCTGCAGCAATAATTCTTTTTAGATGCGGTTGTATGTAATTGTAGTGAGGCCAAGACTTTTCTAAGCCCAAATTGGTATTTAGGGATGACATGGAGGCCCCCCTACTCTTCCAAACGGTTTTATGGTTATTTCAATGGACAGGATCTCATTTTAACCTCTCATCAGAAGGATGGCACATTTTACAGCATGGTGTTTCACATCAGCATTGTGGGCCACTGGTTAGGAAATTCTAATCTGGAAGGAAGAGCACCCCCTGCTGGCTCACCAGCATTGCAATCTGACAACATTAGACCAGTGCATGGAAATGCTGCTAAAACAGAGCTGTTCTACCCTCAAGGACTGGTGTTATCCATTCATGGATAAAGTATTATTTTAGCAAGGAGTCTAAGGAAATAGACCTTTAGCATATTGGTTAAATCTTTGGGCATAGGGCCCATATTAGAAGAGTATTCGGAAAGATTTGTTGCAATATAGGTGTGAGCTGAACTTTTTGCACATTTGATGTGCAGGCCCTCTATGACCACCTGATGGACTTCCTGGCTGACCGTGGGGTGGACAACACCTTTGCCGATGAGCTGATGGAGCTGAGCACCGCCCTGGAGCACCAGGAGTACATCAAGTTCCTGGAGGATCTCAGTGGCTTCGTCAAGTGCCAGTGAGCACAGACAGTGGGCCCTCAAACTAGGTTTATAAGCAAATGTATCGGTCTCCTCCCTAGATTCCATGTCAGAAAGAAAAGACTTAGTCCCCAACGGTGCAGAGTTGTGTATATATATTTGAATCATCTGTGCAAGATTTTATTTCTGCTGAGGCTGAATGAACACCAGGTTACCATACCTTCTGAAGATGCAGGAGAGTATATGCCCTGCACTGAAGTGTTCCACTTCATCAGTGTGGCCAACAGTGAGATCAGTTGAAATCTGTATCCGTTAAGTGTGGCATGGTTTAACCTTTGATTCTCAATCTTTAAACGTTCAAAACACTTTAAGAAACTTTAACTCTGAGGACAGAATATTTCAAAATGTAAGTTCTGTTGCCTTGTCTTACATTTGATGCAGTCAGAGTGCTGTTTTTTCCCTGTACTGGAGTCTACGGTGGATAGGTTTATGGTCTACAATAATACTCTTCCCCTTATTTTTCTGCAAATGTAGTCTTTTGACTTCCAATGTTGTTTGTCTTTTAAGAATTAAAAGGTTCCTGGCCCACTGACCATATAGTAACACCTGACTTGAACACATTATTTACAGGGAACATTTGTTATAGTTAAACAGTATAACTAAATTACAAAAAAGATTCTAATCTAGAACATATTTGCAAAATTAAACAAAGTCCAATTTCACAAGCCAGGTTCAGACTTACGGAAGATAAGAACAGCGTTTATATATTAAAAGAGTGTCAGCATTGTATGTGAAGTTTAACTGTTCAACATGATTTGAATCACATTTTGCCCATTTTGGGTTATTGCTAAAATGTCTTTTAGAATGGAATGAAAAAATAGCACTTTTTATTAAGATCAAGACTGTAAAGCCTACAATAAAGGTTGAGTTAATGACGGGTCGAGTATTGTGGATCAGAATTTTGTCAAATGTTGTTCGATTCTCTCAGCATTATTCTCAGGCAATTAATTGACTCTATCGCCACTGAAGAGGACTTTAACTTGTGCCACCTGCAATGTCATATTTGCCTAAATGGTCTGGGATAATGGATTAAACCGTCAAACCAGAGGTCCTCTAACCTCTGGAGACCACCATTGAGTTCCTGCTCTTGAGGATTGCTTCTCCACTAACGCACAGACCCAAAGAAACATTTTATGGCAAAGAGCAAGTTTTTTTTTTTAAATGATTGAGGGACTGGGGGACATGGTGGAGCAGTGGTTAGTATTGGGGTACGGTTCCAGTCCTGGGGCGATACCTACATGGACCTTGCATGTTCTCCCCGTGTTCGTGTGGGGTTTCCTCCCACAGTCTAAAGACATACTGGTAGGTTCTCTGGCTTCTGGGAAAATTGTCCCTGCTGGTTGGTGGGGATGGATGGGTGTCCCACGCAGGGTGGATCCTGCCTTGCTCCTGCTGCTTGCTGGGATAGGCTCCAACTCCTCCCCTGTGACCCTGAATTGGAGGAAGCAGTTAGAAAAGGGATGGAAGGACCAACTTCTGGTGTCGCCCCTGGTCTTCATAAGCACTTAAAACTCCACCAAAAAAAAAAAAAACAGCACCATGTGCATTAAATACAATACACTTCATGATCAAGAATAGAGAAAAACTTTTATTTCACAGAAATTTAATAAAGACACAAGATAAGAAAGATGGAAGCGGCTTTCCGATTCGGAAGCAAAATATCTTCCACTGTTAAAACAAACTCCTCTCCCTTTACAGGACGACTGACAAATGATCACAGGCCTGAAATGACAGGAAGAAAAAAATAGCTTTAGATTTTAACTGAGGAGGGCTATTGCTTAAGATACAAACACAAAAAGTCTTCCAACAGTAAATAGTAAAAACATAAAAATGTAAGCATGGGAATTCCTGCAACAGCTAGTTTCAGTATGAACTGAGGTGTCATTTACCATGCAGCTGATGAGAAGATTTGCAGATCCTTCAGTGCTAGTGGCTACAGAAAACACAGGGCTGTGGAAGCACTGTTCCACGTGGTCGGTGACACTTCTCTCTAGGAGCGAACGGAGGTGCTCTGCTGTGATATTCCTGTGCTGTGTGTGGAGTGGGGGAGAGATCCATGAGTTTTTAAGACCGCGTTATCCCATGTGGGGATCTGAACGTTGCCTAACACCCTAGCAAGAAAAACACTGAAAACAAAGAGGACCTTTTAGAACATTATAAACTAAAGGCATCAATTTAACAAATACAGACCTTATCTGTAAGACTATGGAGTTCATGGGGAAAAAAAGAGTTCTCCAATGAAGGCACAGAGGAAAAATCCCTTTTAGTCATGCCTTTAAAATGAAATTTAAAGGCACAATATAGGAATAAATTGACTGATTGCAAAACAATAAGTGAACTTACCCTGGTGTTGATGTACACTCCGCACTGGCACGAGATAAAGTGGCTATTAACAGTCAGGTTATTCCTGTAGTAAAGGAAGTACTGTCAATTACACTCGCAATTCAAAGACTTCTCTCCCTTCTTTCAGAAGGGAACGACAGAAATGTATTCCCCATCCACGGGTGCCTGCTGAGTCAACGGGCATTTTTCTGCTTTTTTTGAGCAGAACGGGGAGGGGGAGCAGACACCGACAGCTGCAAGATCACAACTAGCTACTGCCAATTCAAAGCCGATACTGTGGCTTCCTTCAGGAGACAGCGGGACGAGATCTTGGGGTCACTTAGCTACACCCACAGGGCACAGATCTCCTCGTTCGTAACCCTCGTGGTCCGATTTAAATCGCTTACATGTGGCAAACAGGACAGATGATTTGGTTTTCCGCCCCCATTCCTTCCACCATCGCGTTTAGACACTGCTCCTCGTACAGCATGCTTTTTTCATACTCGTCGATGATGGACTGTTCTAAAATAAAGAAGGAAAGCAATCTGCAGTTTAATTAATACATCATAATTAGCTGGTCTTTGGGGTCGGGGGGGGTGAAAAGAGCTGTCTGAGAGCAAGGTCCTTAAGCCAGTGTTTAGTTCCGACGATGCCATCGGCATGTTTAACTACCTTGTGACAGGAGTTCCTGCTGTATCTCTTCTAGCACTGCGAGCTCGTCATCATCCTGCATTACGCTGTACATCTTTGAAGAAAAGAAAGTCTTATGGGTGGAACAGAATTGACAAATATACCATTTTTGCAGTAACATCTATTCTGCACTAGTCTATCCTTACATCTTAAAAGAAAACAGAGTTGAAATCTAGGGACTATTCATATCAGATTTGGAATGAACAAATCCATTTAGCTATGGCCTAGGTTTGAAACACTGTCACCTTGCTCTTGTGTACTCCTAATGGTTTTACACCAGCAGCATTCAAATAAAGATAAGAGCTATGCTGAAGACAGGAGTCAAAACCTCTCTTCATGGGTATATTTGGAATTTTGTCCAGACTGTAAAACTGGGTGTTGAAAGGGAGATGCTATTTGACATCTACAAAGAAATCTGAAAACATCAGGTCAGATTTTCAAAGCCGGCAAGCCGGCGCCGTGATAAGAGCCTGGCAACAAATTATCATTCGAAAATCCCAGCTCTAGGGCGAGCAGAGCACAGCAATCTTGTTGTGATTGTACGGGGCTTGGCTTGTGGACGGAGGAGAGCCAGGGACACACTTCTCTGATGCTGTCCTTGCTCCACAGAGAGGGCAGCCTCCCGCTGGTGCACTGCAGTGCCTTCCACTCCTCTTCCATCACCTCCTGGACCACAAAGGAGGCCTTGGTGCTGCTGCGCGGGCTCTCCCCCGCCTGCCGGTACCGGTCCAGCAGCTGTGACCGGCTGTTCTTCAGCCTCTCCATGCAGCGCTGCCGGACCAAGCAGAACAGGCCGTCAGGAAAGCAATCTGCAGTTTAATTAATACATCATAATTAGCTGGTCTTTGGGGTGGGGGGTGAAAAGAGCTGCGCTGCCGGACCAAGCAGAACATTCATGGTAATAAGTTTTCAAATATTTGTCAGTTCAATTGTTACACAGAGTGCTTCATAACCCGTATCCCATTAGACACAAAGCTCTCCATTATGTCCGTCTGATCAGGAAAGCCCACCGTTCTGCTTTACCGAGGATCTTTCCAAGGCAACACACAGTAGTAGGATAAAACTACCAAAACCTGCATATTACGAACGCGAACCTATACAGAACCTAGAGTGTGGTTTTAAAAAAAGTTGCTCCGTCTGAACTAGGACTTGTTTTGAGACATCACCATATATATCATCAATGACGATTCCACCGTGAGCTGCAGCATGCATGACGCACAGCCCTGTTTTTTTTTCCCCAGCAGCTCTGCAGGCAATAGTTACCAACAGCTTAGTTCACAACTTTATATCATCCAGATTCTTGGTTTTCCCATCGACAATTCGCAATACCTCTTTCTAATGTAGCTTCTTGCCTGTGCGCGTATCAGCTCCCCTTTCTTCACTGCTGTTTACAATTCTTTTCCTGCTTTTGCTTTTGGTAGAACTTGTTGCTTTGTTTTTTTTTTTTGTTGCCCAGAATACTTGTTAACATCTTCCTCGGGTATTTCTTCGCGAAACCCTTCGCAATCATATGGTGCCACTGGGCATACATGCGCTTCGAGAATAAGTGGGTATTTTGTCTGCAATTTCACACCCTCTCTTCTGCATATTGTTTGCAGTCTTTTGAGGAGTACCGAGTCCCCCATTGTGGGATGGGGCTGTATTAATATATAGCTGCAGTCAGACATCTAGTTATTATTGGACAACACGCTGGGTTTTGTGAAAATGAAGCTATACATTGCTACGCAATCGTAAGGCAGCTCAGAACGGCCAATTTCACAAGGAACGCCCGAACATTTCAAATAGAAACACTTAAAAAGAGCCGCCATTCTATCTTTACCTTCCTGTAAGTTTCCTTCCACGGGGGGGTCGTTCCTTTATACAGAGAGCGGTGTCTAAGCACGGCATCCATGTCGCGAACACAGACTAATACACCTTCCGCGATAAGAAATCTGATCCCGCTTCCTTGTGATCACACAACCTCCAAAATGAATCGATCTGTACTTCCCCGGCTGGTACCCAGTTCACGACTTTTAACCTGGGCCCCAGCAGCGTAACACCAAGGAAGTTCCGCATCTTTCGCCTAAATGCAGTGTGGGGGTTGTAGTCTTCTGGAACCGAGCTGACGAGACTGGCGTGCTCGCCACCGGCCCAGCCCCTCTGCAGAAGCAGTGAAGTGTTTTCTCTGTCATTGCGATCATCACTTCAGCGGTCTTCGAATTTATTTAAGACGGTTTGAAAACACTTTTTTGCTAATTATCATTTCCACAAGCCAAAAGACTGCGATTCAAAAGACCAATGTTTTGTAAGCAAACTGAATTCTACAATTGCCCCCTTAAAACAAGAAAATCAACGTACTGTGAAGTTTTACATGAAGCTATTGCGTGCAAACAGCTTACCATTCTCTCCATGGAAGTGTTATTTTTCTTACAATTGTTTAGGACTTTGTTGCCATTTTTTTCTTGTTTTTGAAACTCTTGAAACTCTTATATTACTGACCAGGACTGCGTTTACCTGCTAGTTTGTAAATGTTTTGAAATGTTCTTTACAATAATAAAAAATGATGTCATGTTTTCACTGTGAACCATGAAGCCACGATGAGACTGCTGTTGTTCTGCTTGTTTATTTTATCTTGTCGTTCATCTGTTGTATTTCTGTGGTTATTCTACTGTTGTTATGCTGATTCTGTTGCTGGCATTTTTTAACACCAGCTTCATTTTCCACCTGCTGTACAATGTGCATTGCTTAGAGCTGATTGACAAATTGTTACACCTTATTGCACAATACTAGGCTTATTTTATGTAAATTACCTTGAATAAAGGCGTCTGCCAAGTCATTATTTTTAACAATAACAACATTTGGTGGGTGATCTGGGGTGGTGAGAGGAGTAGGACAGAATTCATGAGCCAGTATCTGAACCTTGGTGCAAAGCATGACTTCATGATGTATGACTTTAGCACTAGACCGCCTGTTGATGACAAACGCTAATCAGCACAATACATTTCCATATACCATGTCTATTCAATAAAATGCCAGGGTGTCTGCTACAAAAGTATGGATGATTTTCAATAATTACTTGAATGTGAATGTGTTATGTGGTTATAAGTAACAAGATCCTTTTTACCCTCAGTATACATGACAACAAAATCGTAGCATCAGAAAATCTCCGACCAGGCGTGAAATCTTGGATTAATTCTCAGGTGACCCAAAACCAAGTCCCAGTTTTGTAATACTAGGGGTCTATCTAAAATATCCAGCTGCTGTAGGAGTTATGCATATGCAAGGACTCCTATAACCAGCCCTAGCTGATGAGTTTAGGGCTCATTATAGGAGTCCATACAGTATGTACATATGAATGTGTGTGAATATGTAGGAGAAAGAGAGCCTGACAGGCAGATGATGCATATAAACTCTTTATCAGGATGTGTTTTATGGTTTTGATCATCTAAAGTGAAAACATTTATTTTAGTGTACGGTTTCTTCTCGAGAGAAATCTCCTCCAGTAGCCACAATGTGAGTCCAGAGGAGGTACAGTACGTAGGATTTGGTCTCTATTTCACCTGCCCCCTTCTCTTTAAGCACGTGTCTCTTTAAGCACGGCGGCTTCTTTTAGGGCAGAGGTCTGTCTTTACATAACACAAGCACGTGTAGCCAATTTAACTTTACCCCTGGGAGGAGAAAACACAACCGTCGGGTTTACCATTAAACAGCTCCAACTTCGAAACAAACGCTCCGATTGTTCAGTAACTATCGGGAAGATAGTTGCTTTTCTGCAAGGGCACTGGTGTTCGGTGGTCTGTAAAATAACTGCACTTATTTATGTCCGTATTCCTTCTTCATACCTGAGAAAGGTATGAAGGTTCTTTCTTAAAAAGAATCAAAAAAGCTAGAAGTTGTGTTAGATGGTTTCTGCGCGTCAAACTTATTTTGCGTCCGGAATGATGCTGTTCTCCAAAGATGATGCTTAATTTTGAGAGAAAAAAGAATTGTTCCTCAAGGAAACTTGTTTTGGTGCAAGTGATTGAAACTGGTCTTGTGCTGGTTACGATGCTGAAATCGGCAGTGTAGGGATTAAGTGAAGGGCTTCACTCTTTTGACTAAATTAAAGACAGTGTTCACGGACAGTTAATGAAATAGTTCAATGGCCAAAGCCGAGAGACTCGGATCTGCTGGTTTCTCCGGACGGACCAAACATGACCAGATTCCCGATTCGGAATCGGACTCGGACCCGGAGGAGGAACACGGGGTCAACGCCGGGGCTGGACAAGCGACTGGAGCCGTGTCGCGAACACAGGTGATCCACAGCGGTCACTTTATGGTGTCCGCGCCGCACAGCGATTCCACCCCACGAAGGGGGAAGCGTGGGTCGCCAGCTGGCTATGACTTTGACACCGTGAACCGGACTTGGTGCCACACCTACAGCTTCGGCCCGAGAAGTTCTGGAAGTCTCAGCATCGATCCGACACTGACCCGGCTATTTGAGTGCATGACGCTTGCGTACAGGTAAGATGCTAGAGTACGTTACTTTGCGTGTTTCTGTGTAATTATGGGGTTTTAAAAGTTAATTTACGCAACAGCTCTGAAATAGGCTAAAACTAAACCTTCTTCTACCTACTGGAGAAAGCCTTATCTTATGTCCTATTGTTCCGACAGCTTTGTTATTGATGTTCCTGCCTAGGTGGTAGGTTGTAATCTGACTGCCTTGAGCTTTCCCCTGCTTGGTGCAAGAACACGTCTTTCGGCTTCACCCTGGGCGTGCTGATTGTTAGACCTCCATTTCCTCTACCTGCTGGATGTAGGGTCCACAGTCCAGGTGTCCTCAGGGCTGGTCCTGGAGAGTGTCTGCAGGTTTTCTAGGTCTCTGCACTGAAGTGACGGCGGATGTTGGTAAAGTGATTCAATCATAATAAAAACCTGATGGAGGTTTTGAGAGCCCAGCTGGACTGTAATCCTGTATGCACACTAATAACCTGATACAGGGATCCCTGCTACAGTATATCCACACCTCACCTCTGACTCGCACCTTTACAGAACGTGCAGCTATATAGCTTTCTGGGTTGACTTTATAAATTGGAGTGTGCAGTGGTATGATTCGTTGAGAATTTAGTGCATGTGTTTTTATTCAGTTACCCAGCTAGAATACCTAATTACCTGCAATCTTCTACAGTTTCTTAAAATGCACTAATACCCAGATACAATGGATTTCAATGAAAAGCAACAGATTGTACATTTTGAGCATCGAGCCAGAAGTTTTCATCTGCGAGACAAAAAACCCCTATGCTGAATTCTGAGAGGACTGTAAAGCCCTGGAGAAGTTGCTTCTTTTTCCTATAGTGGGGGTTATTTAACTCGGGATGAGCTAATCTGAGTGTTTGAAAGGCAAATTAAACACTTAGATGTACTGTAGGCGATGTCATGAGTTTATGTTTCAAAGCAGCATTAGAATTACAGGTCTGCAGTGCTGGCTTGTCAAATGTAAAGCAATGTTCATTATATATCACGTTGCATAACTGTTTGTTCTCTCATTCTGAAATGTAATAATTCTAGTTAGTATGAATATGGTACTGGCTGAATCACATTTGTTGTAGACTTAATATATTCTGTAGCACTGCATTGGTGCATAGAGTACATATTCAAAACTTTTTTTATTTGTCTGATTTATTTGTAAATGCTAGTGTACAGTCAAACAGTCTGTAATAGAATCCCTAAACAGCTCATGAGTTTCATGACCTAATGGTGAGTAAGCAGCACTGAGACTTCAGTCCCCTAAAACCACTTTGTTTATTCTGTCATTTAAAATTGGTGGTATTCTGGCCTTGACTTGAAAGAATATCAATAGTGAAGGATTGATGTGCACAGAAGTCATTGAGAGTGCACTGCGTGACCTTGCTCTAGTTTGGTAAAATGTTTGTGATTTAGAAAGCAAGAGCCTGATTCCCAGCACTGGAGTTACAGTGCCTATAATGAGTGGTCAATGACCCCCTCAGCACAATATGAGGTCTGTGTAGATTACCACACTACAGTGCTTTTAATTGTGCACTGTATTGCTCAAATACATTTTCAGCAAAGCCACCCTGTAACTCTAAAGGAGGTTATACAAATGTGCAGTGTTTTGATACAGAAAAAGTCTAAGATAAGGAATGTAGGAGGGATTTACTATTAAGAAAATTAAACAAATATCTTATTGTGCCAGTTCCAAAGCCGAAGTGATTGTGTCTCTAATCTGATTAAGTTTTATTACGTGGGGGTGGAGTGCAGGCAATCAAGTTAAGGATAACTGATCCAAAGTGCTTATTGACAGCATTCATTTACAGCCTTTTATGTGTAATAGCTGGATTGAAAGAGGAATATAAGAAAGGTAACAAACACCTGGAGCACACTGGGCCTGTCTAGCCCTCCTGGAAAGTAGTATCTAATTGATCTAAGGATCTCTGTCAGTTTCTTGAAAGAAGCCAGGGTTTTCGCTCTGACCACATGCTGTAGTTACGAGACTGTGCCATAACCCATAACCCCTTGTGTTAAGACGTATTTGATTTAAATACAATTCCACATCGTATCCATTCATGTTTCTGAAGTGTAGCCAGTCCGCTTGCTTTAGATGTTCTCTGTCTATCCACACCTCCATTTTCTGACGGCTTCTTCCAATTCGGGGTCGGGGGGGCCGGCACGGAGCAGCCTGGATGGGTGGCCAGTCCTTTGCAGTGCAGACGCTCAGGCACTTGCAACAGGGCCGATTTTCCCAGAGGCCAGTTCACCTGCCAGTATGTCTCTGAAATCTGGGTGGAAACCAGAGCACCTGGAGGAAACCCACACGCATACAGAGAGAACATACAAACTCCACACAGATAGGACCTCAGTTTGGGAATCGGACCCAGGGCCCCAGCATTGTGAGATGGCAATGCTGACCACTGCGCCATCATGCCTCCGTATTCTCTCTATAGCATGCTGTCATTAATGATCATGTGATTATTTTGACCCTGCCAAACTAATCAGCTTTATTGTACCCGGTTATTAAATGCTGTAATACTTGGAAGAGGCGGAGAGAACTTTTTAGCTTAGCTTTAAACTTTTCAGTTATTAGTAGCAAATTGTATGTCAACAGTCAAGTTACCAGTACTTTGAACTCTTCCTGGTAATGCAAATTGAGCGGGTATATTTAACAGTGCCTTGTGCAATGTACCAGTAACTTGGCTATTAGTGTCTTATTTTTCCTCTGTCTTGCCACTTGCTGATGGAAGTGTTTTCATCAGTGTTTCATGTGCAAACCACATGCAGAAAGTCCTTTTTTTGGGCTACCTAGTAACCATCAATCTGGGAGAATTAATGCATTAAGCGTAGGAGACCAGAGCTTGTCACAGTTTTGATGAATTGTCTTGTTCTAGTTGCTGTTTTGAAAATCTAAAGTGCTGTAGAGGGTAAATTATGTCAGGTTAAACCACTTGAACGCACTATAGTGACAGATAATTTCATTGAACAGTGCTGAAGCCAAGGAGAAAAGGGTAATGCAGAATGGGCTAGGAGTCAGATCCCATAGGTTTTAGAATTGCTATCCTTTGGAGGTTTTAAATACACTGTACAGAGTTTCATGGAACGTTTAATATCGGCTGAAGACTTCCCCAGGTGATTTATGTACCTTTCTCAGCTCTTGGCTCAAAACTATTTTATGTCAGTGGATAGTTATTCTCTTGACTACTGGGATACAGAAGGCAGAATTCTGGAGAGGATAAAAAAGTGAAAGGAAGTATCTGGCCTGTACTTTTCTGTAATCCTCCTGAATGCCTGTTTTTTTTCTTTACAGTGGAAAACTTGTGTCCCCGAAGTGGAAGTCTTTCAAAGGCCTCAGGCTGCTGTGGAGGGACAAAATCCGCCTGAATAACGGAATATGGAGAGCCTGGTACATCCAGTGTATGTATTTCAGTTGGCTTTGTATTAATATTAGAAGCAAAATCATTTTCTAACTCCTTTGTCCAATTGAGGGTCACAGGGAGCTTCGGCAAGAAACAGGCCCAAGGTGGGGTACACCCTTGGTGGGACCCCAGCCTGCCACAGGGCACACACAGATGGAAACCCCCACACTCACACCAGGGCCGGTTTTCCCAGAAGTCGATTAACACGGGGGGGGTGAACACAGGGAGACCATAAACCATACAAACTCCACGCAGACAGCAGCCCAGGTCCAGAATGAAACACAGGGCCCTAGCGCTGCGAGGCACCAATGCTGACCACCGGCAACTGTTCTGCCTATTTGAAAAGACACAACGCAGCTAATTCAGATTTATCGTAGCGTCGTCGGCCTGCGTAGTTGAAAGCACACATGAGGCTATGACACAAGAATATTGTTCTTGGAAAAACAAAACTGAAACGTAAAACATTCAAGACACAAATCTTTGCAATGGCCAGACTGAATGGCCTAATATCTGTTATATGAAGAACTTGAGATACAGATGACGAAACTTGACATGTACTTGATGCATCTAAGAAACACTCCTTTGATCCAAATTTCTGGACACCCTTTTCCCTAGAAACTACATACCCTCCCCTTTTAAAATTTATTTTCGTACAAGCCAGGCTGTTGAACAGTAGTCAACGCAGGAGTCTGAAAGCCACTCTGCCAGCTGGTGTGATTGGTCACATGAGGTACGCTGACTTGTGGGTCACATGACTGCGTTTTGTGCCCACGATGTAGATGTGGAGAAGAGAAGGAACCCGGTCTGTGGGTTTGTGACCCCGCTGGAGGGCTCGGAAGCCGAGGCACATCGCAAACCAGAGGTACGGTCCCACCCCTTGCACTGAGGGTCAGATCGCCTTGCCCCCTGCAGGCAGGAGACATCTATATTGTTCCCCACTAGTGTTGGGCCTCCGTGTCTGTAAGCAGTTTGTCATTTGGAGGTGTCATACAGTTGCCCCAAGGCAGTGAAGTGATTCACTTGAACCAGGGTGATTGTTGACTCCCAGTCATGTCAGAATTTAATCCCTCAATTTAATTCTTTCCTTCTTCTTGCTGTTAGATCTTGGTCTTGTGCCGTTAGTAGCGTTTTGTTTTTGAATTTTATTTTAGGCTATTGTTTTAGAGGGCAGCTACTGGAAGCGCAGGATTGAAGTTGTGATTAAAGAATATCACAAATGGAGGATATACCACAAGAAAAGGGTGAGTGTGTTGCCCATCACTGCCATCTATGTTTACAGCTGGGCTCTGTATTTCGGATGTATCTGTATGCTGTGACCCTTGTAACCAGTCCAGTCTATTCCTATGGGGTGTATTTTATTGTGGTAGAAAACACACTGCAAAAAATTAGCCTATCCTGAACTACACACAAACATTTTAAATCTATTTCTACTAAGTGACTGTGACTCTGATTTCCCAAATGATAGCGCTGAGGTAGGGACTGGTCAGGTAGGGCTCTCTGGTTTCTCAGCGAAACATTGACCCCAACTCTTTAGACTCAAGCTTAAGGCGATGTCAGTGAGGGATGTCTCAACTCCAATCGGCACTGAATCTCCTGTACTTCGTGAGAGCTCGTACCATGTCGGAAGATGAACAACATGACCGGTGGGCTCGTCAGTGGAGCTTGTCTGCATGTCCTCCGTTTGCTCCTTACTGGTGTTTCTGTAATTCCAAAATAGTTTAAGGAGGACATTCAGTGAAGGCCACTGCTAGTTTGTGGCATACATTATGCACTGAGTATTATATTGAATGAATATTTACATATAGGAAATGTTTAAATCATTACTTTAGTTTGGTTGCTCATCATTTTAACATCATTTCTAAATTACTTTAGTTCTTCATTTGAACTATTTGTACCAAAAAATAATATTTATTTTTGTGTTGAGAAAATACAGGTGTTTTTGTACGAATGTTTTAAAGCCGTCTTGAGTGAACCATTCGTGTATGTGTTTGGAGATTGTCTGCTACAGCAGTTCCTTTCCAATAGACAGCACTATAGAGTGGAAAATGTGGAAAAGAAACAAGAATACTCTGGAATTATAATATTGTCCTTTGGGTGCATCAGTAATGTTATTTTTGTTTATTTTTCTAGCTCCAAAAAAATAAAAATGGTAGGCTGTCAATGTTAGACAAGGTAAGAGAGCAGAATCTTATTTGTAAGTGTAAATGTAATGAAGTTTTTTTTTACTTAAGACTGTCCCTGCTATGAACCATTTTTTTTATAAAATAAGTAAGAATTACTGAGTTATGAAGAAATGGTATAAATATTATGTCTGATAATGTCCTGTATTTTTAAATAATGAGAAGTAAACTCATTTTAGTTTTTTTCTAATCCTCCAATATCTTATATTTTAGAAAGAAACATTCAGTATAACTTATCCATCTATCTGTTGTTTTGCACTGCTCATACATGTTTACTTGTTTATGTTTTGAAAAAAAATTCAGGGACTGCTGTATGTGCAAAGCAGGTTAGGAGTTCTCGACTTGTTTGGCCACTTTCCCTCTTATTTTTGAGAACAGTAAAATTAATAGGAAACCAAGAGGCTTTCCTATTAATAGTCAAGTCCATAGCATTCAGGTCTTTCAGAAAACCCCAAACCTGTGCAGAGACGTGCGTCACACTTGGTGACTCATGAAGTGAATGCTGTTACTATAATGCTGCTAATCCTTTTGTTCATCGCATTTACTGTGCCAGTACCAGCTAGGTTAGACCTTAATGTCAGCTCATCAAATCTGACCCACTTCCCAGCTGACATTCTAAAGCTGTGGGTATTTTTTTATCTAAACGTGCAGGTCAGACATAAACGTGTTGAAGATAGTAAGGCATTAATTGAGCCTTTTGAGAGGGAACGCAAATGTCATTCAGTGACGTCACTAATGGAATATTGGAACTACATCTCCTCTCGGTCACCTCTGTTTCCGAAACACCTGTATACAGTCTGTAGTAGTTCAGGAGGGTAGCTGCGTCAGCATGCGTAGGCTGCAAAGGAACAAGTAATAGGTTTATTCCATGCTGAAAAAAAGAAGAAAGAAAACACAACGTTTTGGCCGTGGAGCCTTCTTCAGTCTAGACTATCTATATTGTTGATTTATATTAAAGGTCCTCATGGTAATTTCTTTGCAAATCGAGCATTTCTTTTTCATAGCGCTTAATTCTGGCTTTTATTTCATTTAGTTTTCAAGTTCACAATTCCTAAAATCTAGACATATCACATATTGGGGATTCTAGATACATCACTATTATGATGGTTCTAAATACATATGATAAGTTTATTGAGGATATGGTATTTATTAGTAAAATATAAGTGCTTACCTAACAAATGTTTGATATACAGCAAAACCCCTAATTTTTTACTGACATATTTGTTTAATTTTGGGGGTCCCTTCATTTGTTAAAATGCTTATTTGACATGGGCTCTTATCTGTACCCCCACCCTGCTAAAAAAGTATGAAACTTCTCAGTGATGCAGATCTCAAAGAGTAGTTATACTGTATTATATAGTATCGAGTATATTAATTATATGTACAGTACGTATAATATTGAATAAAAATTAAATTAATATTATATTATTATATTACAATGATCCATTATCTAAATTATAAGTTAATATTCAAAGAATTTACCTACTATACCTACATATCACGCTACACATAAGACAGTATCTAAATGTTTATTTCTTATCTATTGTTTCTGTAATTTCAATTCAATGGTTTTGTTTCCTGAGAAGTTTTGTTTTCCAAATTTCCCATGATGTTTAATGGCGAAACTCAGTACAAAATTTCTGGAGTCTCCACCTGAGGAGTTTCCCCGGGTTATTGATGAGCTGGTGGAGCCCAGTTGCTGCCTGCCTGCTCAGTGGCACGTGAGCAGAGCCGTTTGATTTAGGTCAGGAAAAATGGCATGGTAACGTTTTCTGGGAATAAAATACACAAAGTCACTCAACTCCCACTCTCCTCCCCCCTGGTGCCCCTTTTCAACACAATACAAAACTGTCATTTCCAGTCTTTGTTGGCAAGAAAGAAAAAAGTGATCAGTAGGTGAGAAGTAATCAAAAAATACTTCCGGTGCTATATTTATCCAGCAGTCTCAAATTGCAGCTTTAAACTAAATATATAAAGCTGGACCATGGCACCTTCAGGAGAACAGCACCAGTTCTGGCACGCTTTCTGAGAGCTGTGAGTACTCCTGTTTTCTGCTTTACAGTAACAGCTGCAGGGCACACTGGATAGGCTGTATGTGTGACGTACTGCAGAGCAGGGGCTGGGAAACTTCTGTTTCACTCCTAACTAGAAGAAGAATTTATTTGAATGTGTATTTCGAGTTTTATTGCGGTGTATAAATTGTGCGAACCACCTTGTTTTTTTCGCTTAGTAATGCAGTGCCACTTCTTTGTGCTTCTCTTAAACCCTGATTGTTGCAGTAGCTGGAACCTGTGTCCTATCTGTGTTTTGTGTATCACTCTGTCTACAGTAGCAAACATCTGGGGGACATTGGCATTGCAGTAAGGGGTGTCGCTGGAGATGAATCTTTTTCTTTCAGCTGTGGATCATCAATAGTATAGTCACACTTTACTATTGTATTCGCTGGGTCTTTAAATGCCAGAATGCTCATGGATCATAGAAACAGGCAATCCAGTAAATGCTTTTGTTTAATGTAAATGGAAAGGTTCAGGTTTCCTGCCATCTTCCAGTTGAAATTATGCTTAATAGCTTGTTACTTTTTTCTCTCTTTTTTCTTTTTTTGGGCTAATGCAGTCTTGGGTTTGCTTTTAGCTATACATTGCATTGTAAGTTAAACATGCAGTACAGTATGGACGACATGGCAAGGAGGCAGAAGCAGGGGCTGAGCAACACAAAGAGAAGCCAGAGAGAAATCGTGCAGCACGATAGTCCTTATTTAACTTAAGAACAGGCATGCAAGGTCCCCTTAAGGAGAATCTAAAGATGAATTGTAAAATAAAATGCTCCCAGGCAGGCTATAGGAATGGCTGCATATAGTGGAAGAATTACCAGTGTCAAGGGAGCTGGTGAAAGCCTGGGTGAATCCTGGGATACACTACCTGACTGACGATCAGGCAACTGTATTCTCATGGCTACCAATCAGTCAGTTGCATCTGTGCTCAGTTAGGGCAAGGTGGGACATGCCAAGCCAAGTTAAATTACTACGTCTGACATGTAACATTCCATTAACATGTAATGAAACGAGTTAAATCCAAAACTCTTCTCATCCTACAGTATATACACCTTTATAAAGAAGGGAATGTTCTTCTTTTCACTTGCAGAAGTGATCTGTAACAATGATGTCTGATGTTATGATCTCTGATGCATTAAGCTTAGTGCATCCATGTGTCTCTCGAATTGGTTGTATGAAACTGGATTCTTGGCAAGAGTTTGAAAGCTGTCCACTGTGGAGGATGCACAATACCTTACATCGAGCAGCAATAAATCCTGCAGCAAGCTTCTCCAACTCCACTTCCTGGTTTTTGTTCCACTTGTTAAATTACAAGTGAGCTGACTGCTGGTTAATTATTTAATTGACTGCATGCAATGTGATCATGCTCTTGGGTGTTTTGTACTGTAGGTAGTCTTAAAAGTTGACATTGTGAGCAGTCAATTCTAAAATACCTTAAGAAAATACTATACAGTATATATAATAAAATGTGTTTATTTGTTAATTGGCTGCTCAAGTTTTGGAAAAAACACCAGAAGACAAGGCTCCCAGGAAATATTTTAAAGACACCTGTCCTACAAGGATTCACTGCAGTTAGTAACACTAGATGGCAGTAGTGGCTGCATCGTCTAATGACCAAATAGCATTGTAATGTAGAGTGTGCATCATACAGTGGTATTGACATTACAGGACATGCTGATCAGAAGAATGTCAATTAAAATACACATTAATTAATGTTCATTAATTGCTGATCATCACCTTTTTTTAGCTGAGACTTGCCTTTTGTGGTAGTAAGTGGTTGTGTCAAAGGATTTTTTTCTTTGCTAAGGTTTAAAAAATGGCCTTCCTCAATAGAGCAAATTTTAAAGGAGTAAGTGGACCAGTATGACCAGTAATCAGTAATCAGTAATCCTAAACCAGTATTTGCACATCCATCAGTTCCAACTCAACATTCCCTTCGTCAGTGTTTGTGAATCCTGGCTGGGCGACGTGCCTGTAATGTTCAACACAAAGCGCCAGGTGACGGAGGTTCTCCGTTTTTCATTATTTCCAAGAGGGGAGTCTACAGGAAGGGGGTGAGTAAATGGCCCTGTCAGATGTTCCCGGAGCCGGTGCGGATGCAGGAGGAGAGCCACATGTTTGATCTGGACTGCTTCCTATCGGACATCTCGGACACCTTGTTCACCATGACGCAGAAGTCCTGCCCATGGGCTGGGGATCGGCACGACGGTGAGTAGGAGCATCCTTTCTTCTTCAGAGCCCATCCTCCTCTAGTATAGGACCCGACGATGAAAGAAATCAAGCAGCTGTTGTCAAGTTGCATCCAGAGAATTCACGCGAGAATGCACAAGGTTTTGAGTATAACTATTTTTGACATGAAGTTTCCCCCAATTCACCGAAATTTCCAGAGTCCGGAGCATTTCGTACACACATGCACTCTGTGTCTTCCCCTTCTAATGATATCTGGTGATGTTTTTCCCACCCCCAGCTTATACCAGCAATGCTGACATGATCCAGCCTGGCCTGACGCCTTTGCAGCCTAACCTGGATGACTTTATGGACATTCCTGGTAGGAAAGACTGTTTTCTTCTCCTTCCCTGCTTGTCAGTATCTCTGTCCCAGTTGAGTGAGGTTGTTTAAGGTGCAAACTTACCTTATATGCATATTGGGAATAAAAAACTCAAAATTCTACACTCATTAGAGTGACCGAAAAGGGTAGAATTTCTGCCCTGAAGGTTTAGGACATGAACCTCTGTCAAATACTTATTGACAAGTTTAGCAGGATTACCAATTCGTAACCTGATCTCAACAGCTCTCCGAATCTGTCTTAAACCCACTGATTCTAGGATAGACTCCGGGTCACCTCAAGACGCACAAGAGATGAGTGGCTTTCCGATAATGGATAGATGTTACATCTATATGTATAAATTACATCAAAAATTTCCTTGGATGTGTTGGATACTTTATTATGTTACTAGTGAACAAAAATACAGTCAACACAAACTTGTCAAAAGTTCAGATTAATAATCAAACGGAACCCTAAGAATTTTCCTTACTTTTTTTTCCAGTTGTGTCATGATTAGTTTAGTAAATTTCACAGTATTCTAAACCCAGGAAGTGGTAGGGTGAGCTGTAGTGTCATCAGACACTCAGTTATACAGTGATCCCAGTTGATTAACGATGTGTCAGTAGTGCAAGAGCTTGCAGAAAGCTGTCTGAACTGTTGAACTTGAAATAGCATGTCAAAGGCAGTATTGGTGCAAAAAGAAATTATGCTTTTATGATTTCCAGTTCGTAAAGAGCTCTTGGTTTGAGGACAAAAAAACATTTGGTACAATTCAAAAACTTCCACACAGAAGTATTTATGAACTGAAAAACCATAGTGCAGCTATTATCTAATTAGTAGGTAGTAATCTATTTAGCCCACTCTACCCATCTACCATTCAAAATAATCTACGCATGGTGAAGGATTAATACTTCAAAACTTCATAATGCAGGGTAAATTATGGTACAAGAAAGAAAACAAAAGAGGATGCCCAGAAATATTGCACATTGGAAATGATGGGAAATGACTACTGAGGAGCCTTTTTAAGGAGTTGGGGAAGAAATGGAGGGCTCATATGGAAAGATAACCACACAGGCCTGCAGTGGCACATGCAGGGACACTACAGGTCTGCGTTCAAGAGACCCGGCCTGAGAGCTGTGTGAAGACATGTGACAACAGAGTATGGAGCAAAGCTGCAACTTCTCTCTCTCTCACAGTGTTCTCCTCAGGAAACCCTGTCTGGTACATAGTACTTTCATTCTCTTCAAGTGAGAAGTACCATGCATAAAGAATTGTGTGAAATCAGCCTAGCTTGCTGCTGTCGCTCTGAGACAGTGTTTAGCTCTTTATCTGAAGGTAAGACTGGGTTTCCTTGGTGCTATTCTGGTTTTATGGATCTCCTCTTTGTGTATGTTTTTCCTTGAAGTCTAGTGGAGCTGCAGGGTATGTTTACCTCTTGCAGAAATGTAGTCTCTATTTGGAAATACACCTCTCTCTGAGGGTGTTGCTGTCCATTTAAAGTACTCATGGCTTCCAAAAAAATATTGTGCCTTATGAAGTACCACTTCTTGGAAAGTTTTCCCTGAGATAAGAGAAGTATATCTGTGCTGGACTCTGGGAAATGACCTACTGACAGTGCCGTAACATCTGTCAGTAAAAAAAGAAGCAACTCTTTATGTTGGTTGTTTGTTTGCTTAATAGTTTGTTTTCAACCTGTTGATCTGCTGTTTATCAATAAGAAAATATTTGGTCACATTGTCTCATTAACAGTGCATTTCTGGGAGGTGGTTCTTTTGCAGATAAGAAAGGTTTCTCTACTGAAGAAAGACATGAAGTATTGTTACAGACCCATATAGACGCAGCGTGTCAATTTTTTCTCTGCTCTCCTTCCTGTCTCTGTCTTGATCTGATCTTATATGGTGTCTTTCTGTACTGTCGATTGACACTTAATCATTTGCCCAAAATTTAATTAACTGAGGTAAACCAGAAGATTCTTTTCATCAGTGTTTCTCACTGCCAGCACAGCTAAGCAAACCTCCCTTGGTTTGCAGCTCTAGGAATTGGAAATAATGGCACTAGATGGGCAATACTCATTGTGTCTACATTCTTAAGGATGACTTGCAATGGCTTCATTGGCACAAGCAGTGCATTAAAGCTTCTCAGAAATGAAGCCAATATAGTTAGAAAGAATGAGAAATCACACTTCTGTTTGCATTCAGTTATAGAAAAATCACTGGACCTTCCTTTATTATCCAAAGTCCTTTCCAAGTTGGGTTCTCTGGACCACTCTGGTTCCGCGGCCCCAGCCTCACACGGGATGTGAATTGAGAATTTCCTCATCGGATGAGTGATCAGGGCTCTGGACTCTCAGCTCTGTGTGGCTGGTGAGCTCCGGAGAGTTTTAGTAATCCCTCAAAGGCTGTTTGTGAAAAGATTCCTTAAACCTACATGAGGGAACAGTGCAGGGTGGCCAAGCATTGCAATCTTCAATACAATTTGTATAGATGGTGACGGTTATTGTGAATTTCCTTTCCTCCCTCGCTAATGTGAAACTTTTGTATTATTGATTATTTTCAGACAAAGCAGTCTGTAAACAAAGACTAAGATCCTGTTTCGCTCGGTCTGGCAACCCTACATATTGCCTTGAATGGACCAAGTGAAGTGTGAACGTGATCTGCTGAGCAGTGAGGTTGCTGGTGCAGATTGGCACCCCAGGAGTGAACAGAGTGGGTCCCCACCTGTTAGTAAAGTGCTCTGGAGTCCTTTGAGATGAAAACTTACAGTACTTGAAGTTGCCATTACTGAATTCTGAACAGTGATATACTGTTAGATACTCCTTCCATGTAGGATTATATATGAAACTTTTTTTTTGGTTTACCAAGTTTGATTTAAATATTTTACTGCACTGCACTCAAGAGTTGAAAAGTAAAGCCGTGGGTGGCGTTAAATGCTGTACTGGAAAATGCGCATGGGAATCCCCCCTCCTAGAGACTACAGGGGACACTTTCAGGTACAGAAGGTCAAGAAAACCCCATGTAGCTCTACAACATGTCCTGGTCATTACTTTTACCTCCGTCAGTTCCATCTCAATGAAGTGTTATGAGTTGCTCAGACACATCAAGTAACTGGAGGAATCTGACTGTAACAGCTGCCCCCCTAAGAGAGCTACAGATCCTAAAGGCACCAGTGGGTAGTATTGATGTGTCGAGAAGCTGGTGGAATATTTCTGTGCAGCTTTTCTAATGGGTCCTAGAGCCGCAGTTAATGATGCCCGTACGGGAAGCTGCGGGGATCCGGCAGGGGTCAGCGGGTGGCCAGACCGCGCTGGAATGCAGAAGTGGAACTGGATGTGGTTGACCACACACCTCATGTCTCGGGAGCTTTGGTTAGCAGGGAGGACCAGTGTAGAAAGGGAAGGGGACTTCTGTATTGAGGTCTCTGCAGTGTTCCTAATAAAGATTTGAGATCACTGTAGTTCAGTGGGTCAAAGTTGTTGTTTTTTTTATTTTGGGGGTGACTACAGGGTCAGTAACTCTTGCGTGACACTGGAAATAGTGACTCTGCCTTTCTCTCAGCCCTGTCATAAGGCAAAGGCCAGTCTTCTTAGAAGGCACACATTTTCCAGAACATTATTTCTCACTTTTAGAAAATGTTGAATTTTTGTGGTATGCTACAAAGGTGTCACACAAGATAATGTGTGTCAAGAGGAAGCAGGAAAATGTGTTGCCAACTACAGAATGTCTTTAATTTGTTTTCTTTATACTAGTATTACTGCAGTTACTAATAATCTGAGGAAGAGGTTGCATATAATTTAAAAATATACAACTTTAAATTCTTTTCTCACCTTTTTGAGAGCATCTCTTTATTTTTTTTTGTGTACCCACCCAAATCAAGTTGGCTGGGTCTTCTGCCCCCTTGTGTGCTAGGTACCCTCCTGCTACCTTTTCAGGGCTCTGAGCACTTGTCAGTCCTGCTCCTTGGCCTGCCATCAACAACATGCTGCAGAGCCTGGTCACGAGGCAAGGTTCACTGCCTTTGCATGTGGTACTACTTTCGTATCCTTTAAATAGCGTCCATTCAGAAATAAAGGGACCTGCTTCCTATAGCTACTGTATGATGCGTTGTACCTAAGCTTGAAAAATCTCTTCTTCAGATCTCAATTATATGCTTTTGAGTTTTTGCCAATCCGTGTATGCTTACTTCATTCTATACTGATGTCTGCACTGGGCCTGCATAGCAGGCCCTCCCATGCTATTGGCTCTGCTCTGTTTTCTGTCATGTTTCGGACAGTCAAACAATGTGTCCCATGCCGTTTGCTCACGTTGTGATGATGTAGGGGGGATGGAATGAAATCTGACAAAAGTGGAAAATTGAACAGATTTGTGTCCTTTGGCAATGGGTTAATATGTAGAACATACAGTATAATGCTCAGGTTTACTGGATCAGTTGTTTATTTCTTTTGCATTTGCCATCAGCTGAGATGTTTAGCGGAAGAAGTACAGTATGTTTGTTAGACGCCACAATGTTGTTTAAAAGAATATCTTGTTTAGGGCTTGTATTAACTGCAGTTCCCAGAAGATGGGTTGTGTAATGTCTTATTTGTAAAAATCCCCAACAACACTGAACTGTGTAACATAGATATGGTTGGTTAATGTTGTTTAACACATAGAGTGCTTCTAAAGTCAGTTGCTTCACACCAATGCTGTGAAACCTGTGTACTGTACATCAGTGAATTCTGGCACTTATATGGTAGCTGAGCGTGTGGGATCTGCACACTTTAACTCCCATGTTGCAGCAAATGGAAATGTTTGCTGTCTCTTCTCAACATAGCTCCACTGGGCAATTTCCCATGTACTGTATGGTTGTTGTGAATGGGCCAACTTGACAAACCTATTTTGGTGTCTTCAGCTATTTGATATCAATCATATTGCTGTTTGCACAGAATTCATATTATTATTTGCACGTGATTTGAATGGTTTTATTTCTGATATGATGGTTATTATCATTCTTTGCTCTGTACACTTTTAATATGAAGGATATTGAGTTGAGGGGGGGGGGAAGGATCCCGAGTAGTGGAAATGTAGCTTTACTCCCAGAGATGAAATTCTGTGAGAGTGACAGTTCGTGCACTTCTTAGGCTTGTAATGCATGTCTTGGCAAATATACCTCCTGGTTAAAAAGTCTATTCAATGAGCTGTCATGCTTATGTTGGGAATGGCCGTACCTCCTGTGCCAACAATAGTGGACTGGGACTTGTTTGTGCCACTCTCTGTGCCAGCATGCCCTGTCAGTCCTACATGTGCTTTTTCACTTTGCTATCTTGATGTGTTATATCCAAAGTTTCAGGAATCGTAGAATTAAACTCAATTTATAGATGGAAGGGGAAATTAGTACTATTTTGCTTCTGGTAATTTCTAGAAAGAATGTTAGTGGGACACAAACTAATACATTCTGAAAGACTGATTCATTCCTGTTAATGGGCATTATTTATTAAATACATTTTACTTCATTTATTTTTATGTTGTTGTAAGCAATGAAAAATTTACTTAAGCAAAAATGAAAAATCACAAGACCGGAGATTTCTTCAGAAATCTAAAAAACGAAGCATGACATTTAACACATTTAGTTTCTTGCCACCCAGTCAGGGCTTGAAATTGACACGAGAAAATTGATTTGCCAAGCCTAGCAAATGTGGGCTGAAATTTCCACTTCCCTTTTTCAAAGACATCCTGATGAAAACGCCCTCCACCCTAAGTAGAGATTAACTAAACGTCTTTTAATATTAGTCCATCATACCAGAAAATTTCAACTCTAATCCTGAAAGACCTATTTGCCTTCTAGCTTTTGTTATGGTGAAGCTCAAACAACATCAAAACTGGCAACTGAGGCAGTGAACCAGATCTTTTTGATTATTTTCATCTAAAACACGATTAAGATGTGCACTTGAGAGCTCAGCTGGAGCAAGAGCCATGAGGCATTAAAATTATAGAATACTTTTCAACCTCGGATTTACCGGGATAGTAAGCTAAATCATATAGTAAAACTAAATAATCTTCCCCGCGAGCTTGTTTAACACAAAATATAGCCATGTCGCCATGTTTCTGAGTTAGGTGTAAACAGAAATTCCTTTAACCAAATGCATGTGGTTTGGTTGTTCCAGATATCTTCATGAGCTATCGCAGTCAGCCAGTAGAGCAGACTGGCTTTTCAGAGTCTGAGTATTTCGGGAGTGTGGCAGGCAGCATGTTCTCCTCAGGACCAGCCTTGGGGACAGCAGAGCCTCTGTTGCCCGGAAACAACCAGCTAGTGCAGGTCAGTACGTCGCCTTGGATATCAGTGCAGTCCCTTGACCTGTGAGTGTGTTCTGCAAAGACGGAGCACTGTGTAAAACTAAGAAATTGATTTTGAACTTTGGTATAATTTCTCACAGGCGAATGTTGTACCAGAAGAAAGACTGATTCTCCCTCCCTCTTCCAACGTTCTCTCGGACACGGGTTACCACAGGCAATCTTTGTCGCCCAAGGTGCCGTACAACCACAGCGGCATGACCTCTGACCCTAAATACAAAGCAGAGGTAGACTACAACCGCCAGTCGGAATATCACCCCCCTGAGTTGTCAGCAGCGACATCACCATATGGGAACAAACATTATACGAGCACCACAACAGCTGTTCCCCCAAGTATGGGCTCCCTCATTCAGGATACCATGCCCTATGGCTCATTTTCTGCACCATGCCAGAAGTACCGATACACCTCTCCTATCACATCCTCAGTTATCACTCACACAGGCTCGATGTCCACTGTCTTGCCAGAGGATACCCCAGGACATGTGTACCCAGCCCCAGAGACGTTCTCTCAAGTGCCTGTGAGTTACCCTCCCCTTTTCGGCACCCAGACAACAGTTCCTTCTCTGGCCATGCACCATAACTTCTCTGTACCTCAAAGGATGGCAGTAGGCTGTGGGGGGACTTCAGCAGGCAAATCCAAGATTCCTGTGCCACCTGCTTCCCCTCTGCAGAGCAGCTGCTTGGCAAAGCTGCTTTCAACAGGCACACAAGAGTGTAAGTTAGCAAATGAACATGTCATTCAGTGGATTTGGTATTCCATCTAACTTTGACCCGCGTTTAAGTACCTCGTTCCCTCTTTCTAGGTAAACCAACAGTGGGATTTGAGCTTCCCAGGGGGGAAGTTAAGTGTAAAATGTCTACATCCCCCAGCTCTCCAGTAAGATTCTTGTTTTTGATTGTTACTGTATTTATCATGACTTTCAATCGGCATGCTTTTGTGAAGACCGCAAGACTGAGATGCATTCACAATCTCTTTTGCCCTGAGTAATGCAGGAATCTGTAACTTTATAAAACATTTTGTGACGGGCTGAACCATTTGTGGGTCATAGTGAAAGTGGATTTAAAACAAAATCAGCAAAAAACGTTGACACACAAAAGGAAACATGCACCTAAAATTATAGCGTGCAACTCTAGCTCATCTACTAAAACTGCATAGACCCTTTATGAAAAGAAGGAAGTTCCCAGTACTTCTACATTCTTGATGAGCAATCATCCAATCAAATGGGAACATAGATTTAGGAATGTTTTAGATTAACATCTTTGAAAGATCAGCTGATCATTGACAGAAATCTTAAACATTTACTCTGTTTTTTCCTTCTTCAGCCAAGTGGTGGTGTATATTCTTCATGTGGAACAAACATGAGAACATCCCCCTCTCTGATGGGTGCACCAGCCGTGATGCAGCAAAGTCTGTCTCAGGCCCTTGAGATCCCACTGCTACCAGCACTGCACAGCCACATGCCACAGTTCTCACCTGGAATTCAGAATGCCAGCTCCTCTCAAAGTTCCACTGTATCGGCTCTACTGATGCAGAACAACATGCCCACATCCACACCTCTCCTGGTACCCAAGACTGAAAAGCTGTCACCTATCCAGATATATAATGAGAAAACTGCTTTAACAGGTCTGTTTCAGAGCAAACTGTTAAATTAACACTTGTGTGATTTAAAGTGTAAGGTGTCTATGTGTCTATAAAACAGTAGAACCAAAAAAGACCAATTTTATTCATGTGATGTTAGTTTTATTTAAACCAGTTTGGTATAATGCTTACTGAATTCACACTGTTGTAGTATTGCAACTTATTTTCCAAATATGTTAAATTTATATAATTCCTGTTTTCCTCAGATCATTTCTCATTCATATTAAATTAAATGAAATTTATATTGCATTACTATTTGTGAATTTATAGCTAAGCATAAAATAAGCATATTAAACCCACTGGGTTTTGGAATACATATTTGCCTGTTGCTTTAAATGTAAATACTTAATTGAAAAAAATAAAATTAAAAGCACTCATGCAAACGGGTGAGTGAAGCTATTGTAGCCAATAGCTGTTCATGGTGTGTTATCCTAATAATTCCCCATTTTAATTTCCCATTTTTGACTTGTGCTCAATCTCAGCAATGTCTTTATCTATTTCTAGTGAATTTCAGGAGGAACTCAGGCCAGATATCCCCAACAAACCCTCCTGAGAAAAGCCCCAGTCCGCAGTCTCCACACTCCAACCCTAGTCAAACCAGGCCTGAGCAGAACAAGGTAAAACCATTTCAACTGCAGAGAAGAAAATGGAAATTTGTCATTAATTTAGGAATTTTGGCCCTACCTTTTTTTTAATTTAATTAAGGAAGGCCTTAAATTTTCCTTCACTCTCAACGTTTTGAAATGAACAATCAATAGTCATGATCACCAGCTGCTATTTCACTCATGACTGGCTTCCCATTCTTCCAGTTTTGATGTGTTGTACATGTCTGGATAATCCTTAATCTACCTCAGAAATATTGAAATGCTGGATTCTTTAAAAATGAAATTGAAAACGACTTTTTTGCAATACTATATGATTGAATTAATTAGTGTTTTTGTTTTGAACACAACTCAGACAAGAAGGCTGCTACAACACTGTAAACAAAATTGCATATTTGTTTTGTGGCTGCAGAGACAGATGTTTTCACTCTCACCCTTCTCTTCCAGATTGAAACGAGAAGAATCACGCATATTTCTGCAGAACAGAAAAGACGTTTCAACATCAAATTGGGATTTGACACATTGCATAGTCTAGTGACAACACTAAGCTCCCAACCTAGTATCAAAGTAAGCACCAACATCTTCACCGAGGGCTTAAGACTCTTCATATAATATATGTATGTATAGAAATATTTTCCTTTTGCATCATCTTCCTGAAATGCAGTATGATGATTACTTTTGGGGAAAAATGCCTAACTATTTATGTAAGGGGTAAATTCAGTAGGTTCTGTACAGATCTAAGAAGTAATATCCCAAAAACATCATTTGAGTAAAAAAAGTGTGATGAATCCAATCATCAAACACTAGATAAAAAAACTTATCTAATCCAGTAATTTTATTAATTCTATAGTGGACAGCAGATATTTTGCAGATCTATGAGAAAATGACATTGTTTAAGAATAATGTAGATGCACTTTACTCATTTAGTCTCCAGCATTTGGTGAATGATTGAAGCTGCCAGCATTTTCTCTTGCTTCAGGATTTGTTAGCCATGTGTCCCTTCACACTTACAGTACATCAACATTTTGATGTGGACACGGTCACCTTCTATCATTGTTTTCAGTCTTTTTGCCTGGTTGACACCCTTTTTCAAATACTTTCCATGCGGAGCGCTCTTCACATGGGGAAAAATGAGATGACTACAGCAAGACGGGAGCTCTTGCATAATCCCGAAATCTGCCGTGCAAACATGGCGAAGCAACGACCAGAGAACACAAATGAAACCTCAGCCTTTCCCTGAACTTTTCCTCACTGCGCGTGTTTCTTAATTAATTGGGCCCCCAGATCAGCAAAGCTACGACCCTGCAGAAGACAGCGGAGTACATCAGCAAGATGCAGCAGGAGAGAGCCCAGCTGCACGAGGAGGCCCAGCGGTTGCGTGAGGAGGTGGTGGCGCTCAACTGCGCGATCAAGTGAGTGCCATCTGGGCCACCGTGCAATACCAGCCCATCGTCCAGCAATGTGCAGTGTTTGTGGTTGGCAGCAGCACTGTCCGTTTTCTCTCCTGCAGCGAGTGCCAACAGCAGCTTCCTGCCACCGGGGTGCCCATAACCCGGCAGCGGTTTGACCACATGAGAGAGATGTTCCGGGACTACGTCCGGGCGCAGACCCTGCAGAACTGGAAGTTTTGGATTGTATCCCTGAATTGGTTTCCTCTTCCACTGCACGCTAATTAAAAGTGCAAGGAACACACCAGGAACCCTCAGAGAGGACAAGGATTTTATCTCCCTGTCCAAAATAGAAATTCAATGAATGGTATCCCATTAATTTAAGTTGCACGTTTTTCTTGAACAGTTTGCCTTGGGCAGTTTCACAGTGTCCAGTAAAAAGCCTTGCTTCTAACATTTTCAATGATATGTATGTAATATAATTTAAAAGTTATATAACTTTTTTATATTGTGCTTTTGAAAGCAGCCACCTCAAGGTACTTTACAAAATTTCTTGTAACAATGTCACTTGACCTTGCTGTGGCCTTTGTTAGATGTTTTGTGAGGCAGTGATTTTTTTTTGTTAAGTCCTACAGAGAAAGAGAGTTGTCTCCCTATATTTAGTTATACAGTGAAGGAATTATCACGTTATTGTTAGGTTGTAAGAACACATTTCCTAAAAATAACACGTCTTACAAAAGACACTTACAGTAGGAATCCGAGATTGTTTTTGCCAAAGTTTTCTAGTGTCTTAAGTGAGATCACTTTCCTTAAGTCAAATTTTAATATAGTTCAGTATCATCATTGAGCCTCTGTTTGAAACCTACAATGGGATGGTTTCTACTGCCAGTGTAGAGGATCTGTGTCGCACAACCTTGTCCTGGCTGGATCAGTACTGTTCCCTTCCTGCTCTCAGACCTAGTAAGTATTTTAAGCTGGACAATCAGCTTACATCCATCCATCCTTCAGTCCGGTTTCCAGCTGTTTCATCCACTTCAGGAGTCGCTGGGGAGACAGAGACCGTCCTGGCAAGCAATGGGCGCAAGGACAGGACACCAGTCCGTTGCAGAATTTTCTGACATATTTAAGAAAAACAAAGGAGGGATGAATTGTCATTCTTCTCTTTTGTACACTTTATTCTGTGGTTTTACCACTACTTCAGATCTTTGTAGTCTGATGGTTTAATACTGTATATAAATTACTGGTCTTGTGAAAGATATTAAGCCACAGAAAAATACAAAATGGGAAACGGTAATTTAGAAAAAGATACTGCTGCACTAGAATCGGTTCAGAGAAGAGCAACCACCTGTGTTCTGGGAATGTCATATGCTGACTGAAGGAACTGAGCCTTCACAGTCTTGAACAAAGAAGACTACATATTCAAAATCATCAAAGACCCTGATAAAGTCAATTCACAATCATTTTCCTTTTTATTTGGAACCTGTTTTGTTAGTCTCAGGTTTTGGAAATTCAGATAATTAGAATAACATCAAAATAGAATAAAAAAAGATAAGTACCACCGTTTTAATGTCCATGCAGTTCTTAGTGTTGGTGTGCCTCTCTAAATCATCCCTTTGTGCTTTTGCATATCTGTACTGGACTGGTGTCCTGGTGTAGTTCTGGATCACACCTGCTGCATCTGGGATAGGTCTTCCTGATAATGGATTGACAGAGTCATTTCAATAATAAATGTGTTGCCATAGGTTACTATTTAGTAGATAAATGAAAGAAAAACATGACTTTATTACAGCTAAGTGCAATATAGACAATTATTAACTTTATTGTGGATATGAGAAGCTGTTTTGTGTGTTATCAGTAGAGGTATCCTTCTTTATTACCTTGTAATAATTGTTACTTTCTGGTTGTAATATTCTTTATTACTCTTGTAAAGGGTATTTATGAAAAAAGAGTCATTGTGCAAAACCTGAAAGAATTTGTTTTCACAACAGCAAAACAAGTGAATGTTACACATGAATCTGTAGCTCTTTAATTAAGAAGAGTAGGCTCTTTTGTCATAAATTTGCAAAATAATCCTCTGCTTACCTTACAGATACTTTAGTTTTTTTCTCTGAAGATCAGTGCAGCCAAAAGTTTTGATCTTTGTTTTAAAGTGTGCAGAACGGATCAAAGAATTCAGCAGGTCGGAAAAGCTGGATTGTGAGATGTGGGATTGTCGTTTATTTGACCGTGTTGATGTTCTGTTATTCCCAGCTGTCCTAAGATCCCTCCGTCACCTCTGCACATCCACGTCCATCCTGACTGACCCCACGCTCGTCCCGGAGCAGGCCACACAGGCCGTGACCCAGACCGGCCCTGGCAACAGTTACCCTTAGCAACAGCAGCCCTGGATTTCGTACCAGGGCATCTGACTGCAGCACTGTGCTGTTCTCGCCAAACTGGAGCTTGATGTTTTGTGTTATGTGCCTGATGAAAAAGGCACAATCATTTATTGTCAAATACTTGTGTGGATTTGATGCGGAAGTCTGGACTCTAAAGCTTGCTTACTCTGTGAAACTGCATTGATGGTGCACCAACCTGAACTGCGAAACATCGTTCCGGACCATGTCGTCACATCTGTCAGCATGTGATCGTTTTCACCTTCTGCTATTTAACACTGAAGAACTAGCAGCAAGTGCATTGAAATCAGTTACTACACTGAACATCCCACAAACCTTATGAAGGAGAAAACTCCAAAGCCACATAACTGCCTACCAATTCTTTTTCTAACTTTTGGAAAGATTAGTTAACATCCATGTACAATTGTAATGAAATTAAGGACTAATATGTTTGCTATTAAGCAATGACTGTAATACTACTGATTTGCATCTTCTTTCATTTGCATGAGCTTGTTCCTGCATTTACAGAAATTACACATTTCTGCAGAGACAATCTGTAATAAAATGGAAACTGTCCAAACTTTTCCTAGGATTTTTACAACCGTTCTGCTCCAGTCGTGAAAATAGAAGCTTAACCCCTGCAAAGGGGCACAAGCCTAAAACCCTAGGAAGTGTTGGCTTTGGGTTTGGGTGTCTGGAACACTGTATTATGAGTTGGGTTTAATGTGTGCAGGGCTGGGAATAAACTGCAGTTTCACAGTCCTCAGCATTTTTCTTCAGGACTGCAAAGTCTGTATCTTGTAAGTTATCAGATCAGTGGTGCAATTTTCTTAACTGAACTTTTTTTTTAAAGAAATCAATGGAAATATTGGGACTAAGAAGGGCATACATAGGAGTATCATGTTTCAGTTCTGGACAAGACATAAATGGTAAGAAAGAACAGGGATTGCTGCCTGGGTCAGTAGAATGTTTGCCGTTTTATTTCTGCAGGTAAAAAAGGTAATATTTTTTTCCAAGCATTTCGAGCAAGTCCTTCAGGTGTTTCTGAATCAATTTTTAAGTCAATAGAATGTCTTACTGTTGCATACTAGTTCTGTGATTTTTTTTTTCTCTTGATCCTTTGAGAGATGTATTTATTGAACTTTGTGAGTCATTAAAGTGATTTGTATAGTCTTTCAAATTGCTGTTGTGAGCTCCAGCCAGTGCCCTGCACGTACAGTATGGTGCTCACTGAGGTTAATTGGAGGTTTAGCTAAAGAATTGCAGAATATTACATTATATTTAAATTACATCAGAAATCATTTTGCAGATTTTTCAGGTGAGCTGTGTCCAGTAGGAAGGGAAGCCTAATGGCAGATCGATGCCATTTATTTAGTGATATTTTTATATCCTGTTCCTTGTTTTTTTTTTCACATTACACTTCAATCACTCATCCAGGAGATGGCACACCCAGTCATTCTATGTTTAAATAAATGTCATAGTATTTAAAAGAGTTACTTTGTCATTACCTTTTGGAAAAACACACATACTGTATAATGTGTTTTCTCCTGCAAAATATAGTTACTGCTCAGTTTACACCTGTGAATGTTATGATATGTACACATCCGTGATACTGATAAGAATTCTCATAAAAACCTATAACCTGAGGAACAGAAAGCTGCACTGAAGTTTTCACTGAGACCTGACTGCGAGAATCGCTTTTTTGTGAATACTTCTGGACGGGGAAACATTAACAGGTAATTATTTTGTGATGGTGGTAAATGCAACTACTTTTCCTTGCATACACAACTCTAAACCACAGCTTCGAACAGTCACAAAACATAACTGTTACATGCGTTGTGCTTGGGTATGGTTGCCATCTTGTGTTTGGAAGTGAAAGTGTTTTTGACATTTGAGCTTTTACTTTTTACTTTTTAGAAGTGCAGCATAGTTGTGGGTTCAGGATTTGTTTCTGCTTTCAGGAAAACATGCACTGGGCAGTTCTCTTGCTCTCTGCTTTGTTGGCCGTTCAGATTACTGTTTCCAAATCAAGTAAGTAAGATTTTGTTCCCCTCTAAATATCTTTCTTAGAACTTTTATGAAGTCAGCAGTTTGAAATTCTGATTAGTCCTCTGAATGGGTATATTGCTGCCGATTCCCTGAGTGAAGTACTTGATCCATATTGATCCAGCAACCCCAAATGTGTGGCTGCATTTACATTGATTTTTGAGAGTCGTGCCAAACATGTTATTTTGGCAGGTTTTTCATCTTTACATTCCTTTTGAATTGCAATTTCTTTCCTAGACAGTATCTGCATGAATTCAAATAATGGGATCAAAATGGTCCCGTTTCTCAATTATAGGACATTCAGTACATTCACTGTATTTTAATAAGAATATACATTTATGTTTTCTGTGTTTAAATTGTATTATTGATGTGTTTTCCTGTCACATAGGTTTAGAAGTTGCAGGAGTGAATTTCAACAACCTCAACAGTGATACTCGTCAGCTGCTGGCTAAAATCAAATTTGCAGCCAGGAGTTGCAAGGAAATTAAAGACAGATACGGAGTTTGTGAAGGTAGGGCCATGTTGTGTCACATGGAAAAATTAGGAGTTTAGTTTTCCCCCAGTTCAAAAGATGGAAACATCAGCAAGCATATTTGTTGAAAAAACACTTCCTAACTGTTAAGTGACCAGATCTAAGGCAGCACATTGAAAAGCATCACTTGATAATTATAGCAGCATTGTGTACAGATTAAATACTAGATATGAAAAATAATTGCTAGTCTAGGCTCACCAAATTGCACAAATTCAATCCAGTCGGATTTTGGATGCACACTACCTGTATACAGTACGCTAGCAATTGTTATGGCGCTCTCTGGATCAATGATCGTCCTCTCCCTGCTGTCTTTCAGATGGCCTTTACTACTTGATTTCCAGACACGGGGAGCTGTATCAGACCTTCTGTGACATGACCACCAACGGGGGAGGCTGGACTCTGGTGGCCAGTGTCCATGAGAACAACATGTATGGGAAATGCACTGTGGGTGACCGCTGGTCCAGCCAGCAAGGGAACAACCCCAACGTCCCAGAGGGAGATGGCAGCTGGTCCAACAAAGTGACATTCGGATCTGCTGAGGCGGCCACTTCAGACGACTACAAGGTGGGTGAACTGCCAAAAAAATGTGAATGAAAAAAGGTGGCTCCCTGGATAATTATTCTCAGGTTGTTTTTTCATCAGCAGGATTCTATCAATGTAATAAAGCATGCATCTCTTTCTGTGTGCCTGTTTTTCTCTTCAGAATCCAGGATATTATGACATAACAGCTCAAGATGTATCTGTGTGGCATGTTTCTAACAATGCTCAGATGGAGCACTGGTCGATAGCCTCCATTCTGAAGTACCACACCAAAACAAACTTTCTTAAATTGTACGGAGGCAATCTTTACTTCTTAATCAAGGTAAGGTGTACCTTGCATGCTATGGCCGTTGCAGAGCATGATCTTAATGGTTAAATGTTTGTGGGTTGTGCATTGCTGACAGAGGTAGGTTTCTGCTCCAGTAGTGGAGGTTCTGTGCACACTGTGCTGGTGTGCCTAATGTAGCAGTAAAGACATCATGGAGCAGGAGCTCTGAAGTCTTTTTTTATTTGTGATGTGTGACGAAGCCTGGTGGCACAGGGTGGAGCCACCAGTAGCTGCATACTGGCACAAACTCAGAGGGTTGCCTGGCACAGCCCAAGACGAGCCTGAGGCGGCTCAGGCAACCTGAATACACTGCGGCGTTAATTCAGCATGCTTGGTCGTTGTGGGAAGGAAAGTGATAGAGTGGTACTGGGTGGACGGGAGCGGCTGAGACTCGGATTTCCACTGCTACTACCCATGAGGGACGTAGGTATGAGACAGCTGTCTGTACCTGACACCCCGAGTCCATGAGTGAGGGGCCAGGGGCGCAGTTGTCAGAATAGACTGGGAGAGGAACTGGGATACCACAAGCGAAGGGCTCAGTGTTCCTGTATTCCAAACTCCTTGGGTGGACCGATCTCTGGGCCTACGTAACTGTGAGTTTTGGGCTCAGAAATCCTATCGCTATTGCTATCACTCAGAAGGAGTGAGTGATATAACCGTAACTAGCTAGGTAAATAACACCAAATGCCTCAAATCTAGTGTAGTACCTCAGAAGGGGGTGATACTGTATACAACCTTACTCTGGAAGTAGAGTACTAAAAAAGGGAATAGTAGTAGAGCAGACAATTTGCCTGGAGGTATGAGGATGGCTTGGTGATGCCACAGATCCACCTGGATCAATGCCCCTACATGGCATCACACTGTTTTGGCACCAGATATTGTCTCTTGATGTCTCACACAGTCGCCCTGTGTTCTTTATTTCAGCGCTATCCAGTGAAATACCGTGCAGGTGTCTGTACCACTAACCATGGGCCCTCAATTCCTATTGTGTACGATCTTGGAGATGAACAGTCTACTAGCAATCTGTATGGCCCGCACACTAGAGGTACAAAATTGAAGTATTTTATGACTGCCTCTCCAAAACCCATTCAGGGCTTTTACATCTTCAGATTGTGTTTTTTAATATTCTCACATTGTGGAGCTCAGTTTTGAGTGACTTATAAATGTGCATCAGTAGGAAGAGGAGGTATTGTGTCAGAGGTGAGGATGACTAAGGATTCAAGGCTGTAATGTCACCCGATGACCAGCCCTGAGGCATTACTGTCGATACAGATGCATTTCTGATAGCTGTAACATTCAAAATTTACCTTCAGTATGTAAACAGAATCTAATAACAGCTAAGAATGTAAGCAATAAATGTCTTTTGGTCATAAGACATTTATAACCTTTTTTTTTTACTTTTTGCGAAATTTTGAAAGCAAAAAATACAAAAATGAGAGCTCACAAGACAAAAAATTGGAAGCTAATAACTCTTTTAGAGAAATCTTTCTGAAGAAAGCAGCTGAGCCTGCTGTCACAGATTTTACCCTGGCAAAATTAAAGGCTAGAATAAACTTTCCAAGCAAACAGGTTCTGTAAATGAAGTCAACCGAGTGTGATTTAAGGACTTCTCAATGTCCACCCAACCTTGAGAAATAGATCATGAGTTGCAGTTAGAGCTGCAAATGAGTTTCTGTAAGGTGATGGTATCTTGGGAATGGTCATTGAGAAGAAGCAGTCAAAGGCTCTGTATTATTAAGACCTTTATATTACTGGGCTTCTTTTCATTTTTTAATCTTTCACAGTTCAATTTTAAAGTTTAACATAAAGGTTATTTCCGTATTTGACTTCGAAGGTTTCATCGGTCTCTGTTTTGTGTTTCAGGGCTGTTTAAACCCGGTTTCATCACCTTCCGGGCTTTTAATAATGAGCAGGCAGCCATGGCTATCTGCTCAGGGGTCAGACCAACAGGGTGTCACACAGAACATGTGAGTGCAACATCTCTATGTGCATTTTTCTTACATAAGAATGAACCTTAGTGTTTCTGTGTTGAAATGTCAGCAATTTGTGCCAACTGAATTAAAAGAAAAATTATGGCTTTGGTCCAGAGACACTTTGCATCGTTGTTTGAGCATATCACATTGATAATGACTATTTTTCTTAAGTAGTCAAAACTCTGAAAATCCTCAGGATTAAAAGAAGGAGAGAGGCCCCAGCAATCTTATACTACTAGGTAAAATGCTGGATGCCCCTTGGGCCCTCTAATATTCTGGTTTGGATGTTCAGATTGAATGATTTGAGTTTGCAACAGAAATTCATTTAGAATGCAGTGATGAGCAGCAGAAACATTGATTGGGAGATGTACAGTGAAGATGAACGTCCTTGTGCACGCACGTGTATTTCTTTGCTTCAGTATCACAAAGAACAATAAAGGCAAGCGAGGCTGAAGCTGTGGTGTCTGATTACGATGATGTGTTGAATTGCAGTTCTGCGTTGGAGGAGGAGGATATTTTGCGGAAGGTGGTGGAAGGCAGTGTGGAGATTTTACAGGACTTGACTGGGATGGCTATGGGACTCACCAAGGCTGGAGTGCCTCTAGAGAGATGACGGAGTCCGCAATGCTGCTTTTCTACCGCTGAAGTGCAGGCGAGGACGGTCACACACTCAACTCATACTGGAATGCCTGACGATTTCTGAAATCAAAAAAATCTGGACTGTTTTGATTTTTTTTTTGTGCAATCGTATTTACGGTCTCATGACCACCTTCTTGTTATAAACTTGATATAAATCTCAAACCTGCACAGATTGATTTCTGCAACTTCAACGGTCTTTATTCTTGTAGAGTTTGTGTACTTCACTACACCACCTTAATCCTCCTTCCCTTGTGTTTCCAAACATACCTCACCTTTAATTTCCCAAACACAAACTAAAGCAAACACGGTGCTGGGTGGTGCACCAGTCAATGCTAATCCTAATAAAGGATTACAGGGGAAACGTGTTAAGTACACTAACCAATAGTACATTGGATGACATGAATAACTTTTTCACATCATAATGTTCTTATTAGTGACTTCAAAGAGCCAGGTCACATATGAAAGGCACTAAAGTATAATAAATCTTTTTATTTCTTTCAAATAATTAAACAATATTAGCTTATAATTCATATATGTAATATTTCATTAATACAATTAAAAAATGTGATAATTATTTAAATTTTAAAGGCACCAAGATCTAATAAACAATTTTATTTCTTTCGGATAATTAAAACACTATGGGACAATGCTAAAATCAAACTTGAACTTGCACATAGAAAAGCTGATTTGTGTTAAGGTCATTGTAATCAAATACGTTGGTTTTTGTTCACACTGGTATTCATCTTGGCTATGTGCCTGAAAAAGGTTATATTTCTCTCCTATGTAACATTGAAGCTGTAGGAATCTGTTCCTTGTTTCCTGGGTTTTGAATTATATCCTTCATTAAAAGATTTAGCAAGAGGCTTTCTGGTAAATGTTTAATTTTTCCTACTTTTAAGATGTACTGGATAAAATAATTCAAATAAGGGAAGAGTAGGTCCCAAAATTTTCACAGTTGAATTTTTGTTGGTCTGGACTAGCTGACCCAAATATGCTTTTTAAAAAACATATAGTTTCCACTGAGCTGGCAAGGCAAAAGAGTACATTTCCAGAGAGGCAAAAGCACAACTGACCACTCATTTCCTGTCTAATGAACACAAGCTTTTAGGGATTAACTGTCTCCTCTCCGGGTTTAAAAGGATGTGGCTGACACAGGTTTGCAGTCTTTTGTTTGGAGGACCTGCAATATGTTTAGTCTGGTTTTTCTATGATTTTCAGAGTTTTTGGAAGATGTGGGAGAGCAGCACTAACAATTTATAGTGATCATAAGGGTTGTTTGTAGTTGGTACTCCGAAGAGGGCGATGGGTTTTGTTTTGGATTTTTAAAAAGTTTTTTGCTGGCCTTACATTGTGGCTACGGCATCAAGATCCTGCCTGCCTGTCACCTTACTTACTCATTACATGTAGTGTCTTCCCAATGTGTTGAGTAAGCCGTATGTAGAAATCCTGTGGATAACTTACAGTAACTGGTGTGTTGCTGCAGTGCAGAACAGCACTCCAATATTTAAATCCTGAGAATAAAAACATTTGTTTTTGTGAATGAACTCATAAAACATCTGTGATTTTGTTTTGCAAGTTTTGCTGATGTACCTACTACTCCAGCTATCGATATCTCCCTGGCTTTAAGGGGATGGGGGGTTCTTCTGTGACAGCCTCAGTTTTATCCCTGTTTCTTTTTAAATGGGTACAGGACTTTTTGATTCTTTTCAATGTCAGCAAAGTGAACTAAAAGATCCTACTTAGTGGTCTAAAAATAAGAGTCTTGGGGGAAGAGGAAGATATTTTGCAAAAAAGCAGTATGGGGATTGTGGAGCTGGGATAGTTCTGGAGCACTAACATTGGAGCAGGTCTAAAGAGGGGACAGAATCTCCTGCACTTCTTTGCTTGTTGAAGTGCTGGAATGGAGCCAAACTCTTTTCAGGTCACTAAAGTCCCTCAGGTATTTCCTGGTATGAGACCTAGATCATCACTGACAGTAATAGGCTCAAATGATTTTGTGATTTGAGGAGGTTTAAAATAGTCTTACAGATTATATTGAATGTCAAATTGTAGAAATGTACAATACATTGTTTCACAATACAGACCTTTAAGATCACATTTTTACAAAATGAAAAAAGTGACCAATTCTTTTCAATAAATGCATTGCCTGTCCATCCACAGAAACTGGAAAAGGATTTAAATAACCTTTAATAGTCACTCAAGTCAATAACATTACACTAACTATCACACTGCATCATGTTAAAAAAAAAAAGATTTGGAGAATAATTAAAACTCCAAGCAATTAGTTTTAATAAGTAAGAAGTTAACTCAAAATGGGCCCATGAAGATATCAAAATCCAATTTAATAAAAACACTTTAAAAACTGATGTAGCATTTTTAAACGTAATTGTTTTGTCACATATGTTAGTGCACAATTGAGAGTTAATGTCTTGCTTGTTTTGAAATTATTCAATTGTCATTTGCAACCCCAGATTGTAATGCAACATATTGTGTTTGTTTAAACAGTTTTCTGGGTTCTTAACATTATTTTGTTTACTGCGCAGAGTAATAAAAATTATTTCTGGAAGTGTTCCAGGGTCTTGTCAAGAGGAGACCTGCAGGGCACTGACAAGCACTGACAAGCTGTATTGAGTGGTAAAGGGTCTTGATGCCTCAGTTTGCTCCGAGTGTGGTTTTGACACCATAGTTCAGGGCTCTGTCCTGGCCTGGATTGAATGGAATGTTGCCCTGTCCTGTTCTATAGCCACTGCATCATCCTCAATGGCTATACTGTGGCCCAATGCACTATTAGAGAGAGTGATGAAGGGGATTCGTTTTCCAGTTCTCTCAGCTGGAGGTCAGTTCAGAGCAAAGCTAGTCCTGACCCTAGAGTCTTCCATGCCTTGGCCCACCGTAACTTTGACCTTAGAACTTTGAGACACTTTAGTACGATTGTAAACGACTCAATTTAAAAAGCTGGCCTCACACAGGTGGTCAACAACCTAAAGATACATGATACATTCGTACCTTCAGGGCTTAGTCTTTGTTGATCATTCCTTATCTTCCTGTTATCACCAGGTGTATCTGCAACTCCAGCAATAGGAGAATCTCTTCCCTGTAAACGCTTCCGCTCCATGGCATGTGGGAATATATCTCAAATTCTGATGAAAGCTTCAGTGGGAATAGAAACACAAGTGATCCGACGTTTTAGGTAAACAGTGCCCAATAGATTGCTTCACCCCTGTACTCTTGTGGACTGGGAAACAGCATCCCAGGGTTATTTGTTCAGTGTGTAACACTGTGTATCTGATTTCGTAATACCCAAATACAAATCTGGGAAGTATGACAAAAGAGTTTCAATCGATCCATGTGTTTCCATACACTGGCAAATAGAAAACCTTAATGCTGCTTTCTGCTGACCCCCCCAAAAAAGATTAGTCAAGAACATTGTGATAGGAACTCTGACAGCAGTACATCAAATGACATAAGTAAAAGATTAACTGGAAGATATACTTGTTTGAAGCTTTTGGCAAGCAAGTCCACATTTGAAGCCATAGGTGGTAACCTTTTTCTGTCAGGTAATTAATCTCTTTTTCCAGCGGTATTGACACTGTATATGTGTTGAACATATGAGAGCTGATTTCGCTTTTGTGTTAGTCATTATAGTAGTCGTTTGTTCTCCGTACAATTAACGACTGTGTGCTTGAGTCCATGTGATCTTAGTAGTGTTGCGTTTCCTGTAATATGCTGTTGAACCTAAAACATAAGGAATCTTAAAAAAAAAAAGATTTTAATCTTTTCTAGATTTTGAAAAAGAGCTGGAATTAGTAGTGTCAGGTTTGGGGAAAAAGGTTAAAGTTTCTCTGCTCAGCTGTAATTGATTGAGCCATAAGGAATGTCTGATTATGAGTTATGATTACATTGTATGACTAGGTTTTCTAAAGTAACATGACTCCATTCAACCTGAATATTATGGTTTCTATTATCAGTTATTGTATTTTTTTTAGAATATATTTTCACATTTGCCCCAGTAAAGGTAAAATAAAGCACTGTTTTTCTCCTTCTGAAAGCAAGACCTCTATCAAAGAAACTCCTTCTGGTCACCACTCCTTCTATAGAAATATACCTGCTAAGGAATGTAAAGTGCCTCAGGCACTCCTGTATGATTCAAATACATGTTTTAATTCCTGTTTTCTTCATTAGGGGCATTATAATTGCTAAGCGAAGTACTATATGAACAAAGTACTTGTGCATACTGGTAGGTTCATCTCTTTTGATTCATTTTTCTGTGTTATGGCAGCAGGACTTTTTCAGCTGAAAATTATCTCTGTAACTTGGCAGTTTATAGTACTTAGGGGTTTTGTTTCATATTCTGTTGACATATTTATATGAACCTAGAACTTTACATTACGGTGCTTTTTAAAGAAGTATTAAACAGATTGGACTTTCTCTGCTCTGATATTGGTAAGCTAATCCTTGGGAAAATTCTTATGTTTCCAATTTAATGTATATTAGCCCATTTCGAGGGTTATCTGAATTTGACCAGTTATTGCTTAGCTGATTTCAAGCTCAATTCTAGCAATAGCTACAATACATTTATACTTGTTTATCCGAATACTTCCTTTTCCTTTTAGAAATGTTATCCTGGACTATCTTCTTTTTCTGTGCTTTGTTGGAGACTGCTATCTGTGCCCCAACATCATGTAAGTTTACTGATGCAATAAGCTTTTTGTGAGTTTTATTTACATCTTCCCTTTTATAACGTTTTTTGGTTAATGTAATGGAAAATGATGGTTAACTAGTTGGCTGAGACACATTTTCAAAAGGCTTGCTAATTTGCCTTTTATGATGTTTTGCAGTCTCAAAGACTGGCATCTGTGCATCAGCTACAGCATCAAAACACATAGGGGAAATTGATAATTGTATAGAATCAAGAGGAAAAACAATTATTGCATTATCCTCATTTAGACAAAATTACTTAGTCACGTTTTGTAGCGCAAATATTGTGGGTTTGCATCTTTGGTCCTACCTCAGAACAGCACTGACTCCAGAGATGAAGATTAGCAAAGATCCACCTGTGAGTTCGTACCTGGATCCCTGTCCCTCTGGATTAGAAAAAATGACTCGGTCTGATCTTAATTAAAGAGCATTTACTGTCATGATTCCTGAATGTGCCCTTCTGCGGTCATTCAGATAGTCAGCTTTGCCCTCTCTGGGATCTGGTGTACACTTCAGCTATTAGATCAGGGCTTCCTGCTCCCAGTCCTCGTAAGTGGGCCGCCAGCAACTGCTTTTTTGTTGCAACTAAACTCTGTCTAATTGCATTAATTTACACTTTAGATCTTTTTGAATGGTTTTTAGTTTTGGAATAATTAGAGATTTTAATTTACCTGTAAAGTATGTCATATTGAACCCTGCAAATTTTTTAGAATGTAAATAATATATACTGTATATAATAATATATAATAATTAGAAAGTAAACATAGAAAGTGTAATTTTTCAAATTAACGTTTCAAGTAAGAACAAGCTGAAGTGAACCAGATCTGGGAAGTGTTTGTTGACAGTGATTTAAGGGAGTGTGGGAGTCAGGAGTCTGAGCACCACACTTTCCGGCTGGTGAAAAGTAAGGTGAACTTTTTTTTTCTCTACATTTTAACATTGATCTTCTGCCAAATGTTTCCCACCCAGTGGGCACATTCTATGTTTTTCCAGCCTCAGACACTGCATTAATCAACAATAATAATGAACAAGAATGCAAAAGCCTGCCAGAGTTCAAGTATCTTGGTCACAGCTGCAAGGAAATAAAGGAGAAGTATGGCATCCAACAAGGTATGGCTATTTTTTTGTTATTTTTAACTAAATATGGTTCAGTAAATCCTCTTCACTCCCCCCAGTTTAGAGAAGAGAGCTTGGGCCAGCCAAGAGAAGCTGATAATGTCTCATAGAGGACTGTACTCAGGAACATGTTGTATCAGTCATCATGGCTTTTACTTTATTGCACTGATTACGCACCACTTTAATTTCCAAAACCTAGCTGTGTCACACTCCTCAGTTCATGAAGACTGTATGTCTCTCCCCTCTGGGACAGGCTACAGTGGAAAGAGGCCATGTGCTATAAAAAGTAAGCTAATGTCAACTTTAAACAACAAAAAAAATACAATTTTCTCACCAGCATGTTTGGTATAAACTCTAAGGTGATCACTGCAACCTCATGTGCAGTGAAATAAGTCAGTCCTGTCCAATTCTTGTCTTTCAGATGGCCTTTACTACTTGATTTCCAGACACGGGGAGCTGTATCAGACCTTCTGTGACATGACCACCAACGGGGGAGGCTGGACTCTGGTGGCCAGTGTCCATGAGAACAACATGTATGGGAAATGCACTGTGGGTGACCGCTGGTCCAGCCAGCAAGGGAACAACCCCAACGTCCCAGAGGGAGATGGCAGCTGGTCCAACAAAGTGACATTCGGATCTGCTGAGGCGGCCACTTCAGACGACTACAAGGTGGGTGGATTTGTGAGCCTGGCAACTCTGCCTTTTTCAATAAGACTCACTCCTGCATAACACAAACTACTGAAATAAATGAATAAACTAACTATATTTGGGCTTTTGTATTTATGAAATGGGTCTGTTGCATAATAGATTTTTTGTAGTAAACGTCCAAAGTATTGACCCCCACAATGTTATATTTTTTAGAGACTTTTTAAAATTATTTTAAGCTGAGCCGTCCATTATTTTCCTGCAATGGTTGTTCAAGAAGAGATCCGTATACTTCAAAATGTCTAACATTTTCAACTCATTTCAAGAAAAACCTCTTCCTTCTTTTCGCGCATTTCATGCAAGTTTTTATTCATTATGTTGTTTTTAAGTTCTTATTTGAACTTTTCCCTTAATCTTTTCCTTCTAGAACCCAGCATACTATGACATTGAGGCTGAGAATCTGTCTGTGTGGCACGTTCCTAACAATGCTCTGACAGAGCACTGGAAAGTCTCGGCCATTCTGAGATACCACACTGAGACCAGCTTCTTCACACTGCATGGAGGAAACCTCTATAAGCTATTCAAGGTAAAGATAGGTGTCGGAGGTCCTGAGTAAAGGAAAACGTTAGAGAGATTCTTGCACAACCTCCTCTTCTACACTTGCCGCAGTTGCTACAGTGCAAACTATACAGTGTTTCATTTTTCCACTTGAGGATTGAATATTTCTTTTAGCGTTTTCAACTGATCACCAGCAGGTCAGTTTCAGTGTTTTTTATTATTTTAAAATAGAAACTAGAAAGGCAATTAGTCTGAGTTCTTTATTGCCCTTTCCTCTCTAGCACAATATTTCTTTGCTTGTTTATTAGCGCTACCCAGTGAAATACAAAGAAGGAGAGTGTCTTACCAATAATGGCCCATCCATTCCAATTGTTTATGATAAAGGAGACGCACAATCTACCGCTCATCTATACGGCCCAGAAACTAGAGGTAGGTATCCAAGTGTCTAACGACTGCGTACTGTATGAAATTGATTCAACTATTTCACTTTATGCACTGCTTAAAGTTTTGAGGAATCATTTCATTTTAAGTTTCCTTTCTTTTTATGAAGTAAAGCTAATAACATATAATAAATATTATGGAACATTTTGTTATGAGGGACGTACCACAGTCCAAGTTCTATGCTGTTCTAATATGAGGCAACCAATAAATTAAGAGAATTTGTGAATCAACCACTAAATGTGCTTCACAGGTAGGGATTTTTTTATTTTATTTTTTTTATTTTATCAGCTTTGATGTCGTCACTAGAGTTTTGACCTTGGAAAGCTAAAGACTAATGCAGCATCCCCACCCCCATGAAACTAATGGGGTGGATGACTCACAAGTTCACTTTATTTATTTGCTTGCCCCTGTGGTTATGATTGCAAAGTCTTTAGTTTTCAAAAGGTTACTCTTAATTTGCATGGCTTCATGACACTTAATACACTGCTGTGCAAAAGTCTTTGACTTTGAAACACAATCAGGACTTTATTAATAAAGTTCAGATTGAGTGAGAAACAACAAAGGATGTCCATTAGCCATCTTTAATTCTCACTGATCAGAATTATTAAGTTGTTCACAAAAACTTAAGATATACAGTACCCTACATTAGTGTAGCGGAGCTCGTTCGGATACGGTGACGTCATCGCCCTCGCTGTGCGTAGCAGGGACCTCAGCTGCCTGGGCTGAGGGAGGTCTCCTTTAGCTCATGCGGCTCATTCCGGAACAGCGACGGTCACATTAGCATCTAATACGATATGGAATACTTTAGAAATCTGTGCATGTATCCAACTATTACATTTGTCACTCCCAGGACGATTTGAGCCCGGCTATGTGACATTCCGCGTCTTCAATACTGAGCAAGCAGCTCTGGCGATGTGCTCTGGAGTCAAACCCACAGGATGTCACACCGAGCATGTGAGTTCACATTCGTTATAAAGGAGCTCGAACAAAGCATCTGTTTCAAATGCTAAAGCAGTAGCCGTAGATGAAGATACCACATCTGTAGCAATGTAATGGATGTTTATGGAGATTCTATAAGTCTGGTCCTTGAGGACAGTTGAACAGGTCTCCTTAAATTAGTAGTAGCCCAGGTCCTAAGGAAAAGGATTAAATTAGCCCAGTTGCAGTATGGCTTAATTGGACATTTCTGTACATGATGACAGATACTTATTATTTTAAAAACTTATAAAACACTCTGAACTGTTTTCCCCTTTCACCAGACTGGGAACCCCAGCTGTGATGTTTTGGTTAGTTTCCGATTGTGGGATTTGTTTCTGTGTGTTGTAGACCTGCCTAGGAGGTGGGGGTTATTTTGCTGAAGGGGATGGCCGGCAGTGTGGAGATTTTGCAGGGTGGGACTGGAACGGTTACGGCACCAACCAACAGTGGAGCACCTCGAAGGAGATGACCGAATCAGCAGTGCTGCTCTTCTATCGTTAAAGAGAACAGTTGCTGTTTCACTCACTAGTCCAGCTGGTCTAGAGAGAAACTGTCTAATCAAATAACACTTATAAGCTTTTGTCCTTAAAGTCTGTCACTATTACATTCACTGATGTTTACCTTTAGAAGCATATAACATAAAGTAGGCTCGTATTTTGCTTTTCTGTTGCATGTTTCCTGCAAAATGATCAATCATAATTCTGTAACATGTAGTTTTGATATGCAATAAAATGGAAAAAAATAATAATCTGATGATGGCATTTAAGTATTTTTCCTTTGACCCCTTTTATCCTTTTATAAATCCAAAGAAGCCTGCAAATGGGCTCTAAAAGCACCTACTGACAATTTGTGTGTAGAGCACAGACAGAGGCAAACAAAAAATGAGATAGTGATTTTATGGAAAGATGTATGCATCCACTATAAATTCTATTTTGTTGACTTTAAGCATAATACATTATCAGTAACAATTAAAATCAGGGTGTAAGTGATTTAGTGAATGTCAGTCAGTCAATGGGTGCAAGGCATGATTCACCCTGAGAAGGATGCCAATTCATTACAGGGCACACACACATACAGGCATATGGTGTACAATTTGGAGGTGCCAATTAACTTAAGACGGCCAATCCCTCAACCAGCCCCTGGCAGAAAGCCCCCCAGGCTGATATTTAACATAGAAAGCCTTTCCAGGTTAATACAAGAAGCTCTTTATTTTTTTATGATCACATCATTGATGGCAAATCATCTTTTAAGGAACCTTCAGTCCTTACTTTCACATTCTATGTACTGTAAATAGAGCTTTGTTTGAATTCAAACCCATGACAGGTTTCAAGAGTTTCACAATGTTTGGAATTCAGAATGTTGATCACATTTTTCTAAAGTATGATGACTGAGCGATAAGTAACTTATTGTTTCTTAATACTTTTATAGTAATTCCAAGCATTTGTATAGCACTTCCCATCTCAAGGGGCCTCTGAAGCTCTTAACACATAGGCGGGGTCCCACTTCACCTACAGTACCACTGGTCCTGAGCACCAGCAGCTGCCACTGCACAGCAGATCAGGTGGGAGAGTGAGAAATTATTTTACCGAAAAAGGGAAGGGGCAGTAGTTAGGTAGATCCCATTAGAACACACCTTAAGTGGAAACAGGTCACTGTAGTGAACATTCAGTGAGAGGTTTACCTTCTGTCAGGAGGACCAACCATGATGGAAAGCAAAAAATGTAGTGCAATGAGAATGGATTCAAGCAATTTTCCGCAACACTACAAAGAACACAACTCTCAGTGAATCCCTTTGTACAGCAAAGCTAGACTAAAATAAACCCATGTGAGAATGTGATTCTCTCTCTTCACCAATGATCTAATTAATTAACTCATTCGCCATGTCTATGTAGTTGATTGAAGGCCTTGGTTTAAAAAATATCCTGTCTTGAGTGTATTATTCCACCAACTTCAGCATACATAAGCATACAACTTCAGCTGGCTCTCCTCAACTTGTTAATTAAACATTTGCAGCACTATTTTGATTTTAACCGCTTTTAACAGGTGATCAATTTGTGCTGACCAGACTCAGGTGAGAATCATACTGTATAATGTATGAAACAGTGAGAAGTTTTTTTTTTTTTTACTTCTGCAGCGGTTTAGGCGATAATATTTCAGCTAACACGGAAGAACGAGGAGAGTTCTGATGCTCGGAAATTGGCACAGAGCTGAAGGAAAAGATTAATCTTGTGAAAAATACACACAGTAGATGGCAGCACTTGACAAAAGCTAAAAGTGAGCTGCCTTCTACAAGGGCTTTTTCGGCAACGGCAACGGTATTGTACTGTATGTGTTCTGGTTATACGTGTTTTGAGAAGCAAATAAGAAATCGCATCAAATCAAGCTGTTGAATGTAATGCCGTGTACACGACCAAGCTTGCTCAGACTCCAGAGTCTTGAGTTGTTTTTTAAAAGGGCATCAACATTTATTAAGGAACAGGTAAAGGTTTATTCCATGCTGAAACAAAAAGAAAAGAAACACAATGTTTCGGCTGTGGAGGCTTCTTCAAAGTCTTCAAGACACCTGCAGAATGCACGACAGCCTAAACGTTGTCACTTTTCTGTTCCTTTCAGCATGGAATAAACCTTTTCCTGTTCCTTAATAAATGTTGGCGGATGCTCCCTCAGCTACTTACTCATCCAGGTGGGGCTGCACATTGGTGGTGGTGGAGGGGAGACCCCATTACCTGTAAAGCGCTTTGAGTGGAGTG